CGACAGACCTGTTGTGGTCGAAACGTCGTGAGAATTATTTTATTATGTTTTATTTTTATTATTTATTATTTCCATTCTATGTGACTTTACCGAAATAACCAAGAATATGAATCCCTGCAGTCACCAAAGAAGCTTTAAATCGAAGAAAAAATGTGGTCTGCTTTTCATATAAACCCTCTTGGGTTTCCAACCTCACCTGCACCGCTTATTTTTTTTGTACCTTGTGTGTGTGTTTTTTTAAATTTGTACCGTTTGTCTTGTATGTGTGTGTGCATGCGTGCGCGAATAAAAATATTCTTACAAATCAAGCCCAACGTTCCGTTAGAGGTGGGGGGAGGGGGGAGGGGCCTGGGCGTGGCTTACGAGTGTGGGCGTGACGTCACTTCCGGCTGCCTCCTCCTCCTCCTAAAGTCGTCCACTCTCCATCCTCATCCATCCATCATCATCGACTCGTCCTACCGGCACCACGTCTCGAGTCCACCGCACCAGGTACTCATTTGAGGCGGAGTCGACTTAGGGGAGGCCCAGAACCGATTCAAATATTTTTTTCTTGGGGTTTCGCCGCTGCACCACCGCTCCCTACATCCCCGCAGTAACCTACAGGGCCTATCTACAGGTAGTCCCCGACTTACGATCATCACTGTGTCTCTGTGTTTGTGTCTGACCAACATCCACACAGACACATCTCACTGTGTCTCTGTGTTTGTGTCTGACCAACATCCACTACAGAGACATATCACTGTGTCTCTGTGTTTGTGTCTGACCAACATCCACTACAGAGACATCTCACTGTGTCTCTCTGTGTCTGACCAACATCCACTACAGAGACATCTCACTGTCTCTCTGTTTGTGTCTGACCAACATCCACACAGACACATCTCACTGTGTCTCTGTGTTTGTGTCTGACCAACATCCACTACAGAGACATCTCACTATGTCTCTCTGTTTGTGTCTGACCAACATCCACACAGACACATCTCACTGTGTCTCTGTGTTTGTGTCTGACCAACATCCACTACAGAGACATCTCACTGTGTCTCTCTGTGTCTGACCAACAACCACTACAGACACATCTCACTGTGTCTCTATGTTTGTATCTGACCAACAATCACACAGAGACAAAGAACCGAGGTATAATACACATCCTCCAAAGTGACCAACGTGTAGAGACACCCATGGTTGTTAAATGCAGTCTCCAACTCTTATCCACTCTATATCTGGTCTTGTTTTTGATCTGCAATGAAGAAGGGCCATATGCCAAACATCGCCTATTATATACTTTTCCTTTTAAGGCTACAGTGTTATTGACAAATGTGTTCAGTGTTTTTGTTCACGTGCACACGAAGGCATTATTAGGATTCTCAGGAATCTCTGCTGTTGCTCAAAGCTCACAGAGACAGACACGTAAGGCATCTTGAGCATTCTTAGGGCTCAGTGTTCACGCACCAGGCGCGGAATTCTGAGGTCTAGCTATCGGACACAATTTATAATGTGGAGATTTGCTGTTTCAGGTTGTTCGGGCCTCCACTGCGAGAGATTAACAACTCCGCTGAAAGACAGAAAGTGTTGAAATAGACTTCAAGTATACAACAACGGGGTATCAGCATCCGATGGATTGTGAACAATATTCTATTTAAATTTAGTTTGCGCCGTTTGATCGCTCAGGCATTTTTACCTTTGAAAATAATTATTATTGTCTCCGGCAAATATAGATTTGTAGTCTTTTGTTGCAATGTAATTAACCATGAATCGTGATTTACTTGTATTTTACTGAATATACAGGGCGTTATTTTGAGTGGCCAATAACATTTTCGCTGTGATACAAAAATATTTTTCGATTTAAAGCTTTCGTGACTGCAGGGATTCATCTTCGTTTCTTTCGGTAAAGTCACGTAGAAGGAAGTAATAAAATAATAAAATAAAACATAATAAAACAATTCTCACGACGTTTCGGCTACAACGCAAGCAGCCGTCTTCAGGTGAAGAATGAGACATACCAAACTAGGAGCTTATATATAAGCTGCATTGGGGGTTGAGAGCGCCTTAACAAAAGAATGTGCATGTGAAGAGGAATTTAGCCTATTCATGGAAAATGCGTAGGCGTTGGGTCGGGGGGGTGTCAAAGGTCATATTATGCCCATGCATTATGCCAGGATCAGCAGCAACACAAGGGGGGGCAGGGATTAGCAGTAACAAAGGAAAGGAATGTTAATGATATGTAGCTGCAGTTACTCAACAACCACGTAGAAAACTAAAGTATAAACTACATAAAAAACTAAAGTATAAACTGCATCGCACCATCAGTATACTTACTATACTCTATAATAAGCTGAGTTACTAACAGCAAGTAATACATTACAATTCTACCTCGTAAAAATTCTATAATATGCTTCCATCTAAACCTTATTCTCTTATATCACACGAGCATATACCGTACTATATACTGCCATAGATAAACCCAACATTAAATTATATACTGTATTGCTGTAAACCAACCTATATCTTATACATTTAATATAACACTATGTATTATTCTACACACCCTAATGTGTATCGAAATGGTTTATTACGTCCTTCCAATGATTGCTGAGCCAGAATCCATCTTCTCGGTTAAAATTGTCTCTGTGTTTGTATATGTGGATCGCCTCATGAACGAATCTCTCATGATAGCCAGATGGCTTGCAGAGAACCTCTGTCTTGGAGAAGTCGATATCATGTGAGCCCACTGAGTTGTAACAGTGATCTGCCACGGCTGAGGTGTTTGTCCTACCGTGTTTCAGGTCAGCTTTATGTTCACGGATGCGGTCCGAGACATGTCGTTTGGTTTCCCCAATGTAACTGCTACCACAGAGGAAACTTAGTTTGTAGACGCCAGGGTACTGTATGTCTGGAACCACATCTTTTACAGACGGTACCAGATCACGGATTTTATGTACTGTGTTGAATCGGACCTGGATCTTGTGTTTAATCAGGATTTTGGAGATCTTTTTTGTGACCCCAGCAATGTAGGGTAAGGTGATGGTCTTGAAAGGCTCCTCAACAGGATCCTTCTTGATGGTTGGAGTGATGGCTTTGCGGATTGTATAGTCGGAGTAACCATTTGCCTTAAGAGCTTGGCGTACGTGTTTGAGTTCACTGGAAATGTGTTCATGGTCGGAGATGCATTGGGCTCTATGATATAGAGTCTTGATGAGGGAATTCTTCTGGGATGGATGGTGGTGGGAATCCGGTTTTAGATAAGCATCCGTGTGGGTGGCTTTCCTGTAGACAGAGTGGCTCATTGAACCATCAGGTCTCCTTTTGATTAGGACATCCAAAAGGGTAGCTTGCCATCATTTTCGACTAATCAAAGGAGACCTGATGTTCAATGAGCCACTCTGTCTACAGGAAAGCCACCCACACGGATGCTTATCTAAAACCGGATTCCCACCACCATCCATCCCAGAAGAATTCCCTCATCAAGACTCTATATCATAGAGCCCAATGCATCTCCGACCATGAACACATTTCCAGTGAACTCAAACACGTACGCCAAGCTCTTAAGGCAAATGGTTACTCTGACTATACAATCCGCAAAGCCCTCACTCCAACCATCAAGAAGGATCCTGTTGAGGAGCCTTTCAAGACCATCACCTTACCCTACATTGCTGGGGTCACAAAAGATCTCCCAAATCCTGATTAAACACAAGATCCAGGTCCTATTCAACACAGTACATAAACATCCGTGATCTGGTACCGTCTGTAAAAGATGTGGTTCCAGACATACAGTACCCTGGCGTCTACAAACTAAGTTGCCTCTGTGGTAGCAGTTACATTGGGGAAACCAAACGACATGTCTCGGACCGCATCCGTGAACATAAAGCTGACCTGAAACACGGTAGGACAAACACCTCAGCCGTGGCAGATCACTGTTACAACTCAGTGGGCTCACATGATATCGACTTCTCCAAGACAGAGGTTCTCTGCAAGCCATCTGGCTATCATGAGAGATTCGTTCATGAGGCGATCCACATATACAAACACAGAGACAATTTTACCGAGAAGATGGATTCTGGCTCAGCAATCATTGGAAGGACGTAATAAACCATTTCGATACACATTAGGGTGTGTAGAATAATACATAGTGTTATATTAAATGTATAAGATATAGGTTGGTTTACAGCAATACAGTATATAATTTAATGTTGGGTTTATCTATGGCAGTATATAGTACGGTATATGCTCGTGTGATATAAGAGAATAAGGTTTAGATGGAAGCATATTATAGAATTTTTACGAGGTAGAATTGTAATGTATTACTTGCTGTTAGTAACTCAGCTTATTATAGAGTATAGTAAGTATACTGATGGTGCGATGCAGTTTATACTTTAGTTTTTTATGTAGTTTATACTTTAGTTTTCTACGTGGTTGTTGAGTAACTGCAGCTACATATCATTAACATTCCTTTCCTTTGTTACTGCTAATCCCTGCACCCCCCTTGGTTGCTGCTGATCCTGCATAATGCATGGGCATAATATGACTTTGACACCCCCCCGCCCAACGCCTACGCATTTTCCATGAATATGCTAAATTCCTCTTCACATGCACATTCTTTTTGTTAAGGCGCTCTTCAACCCCCAATGCAGCTTATATATAAGCTCTAGTTTGGTAGTGTCTCATTCTTCACCTGAAGACGGCTGCTTGCGTTGTAGCCGAAACGTCGTGAGAATTGTTTTATTATGTTTTATTTTTATTATTTTATTACTTCCCTTCTACGTGACTTTACCGAAAGAAACAAGAAGACAAAAATATTTGTTTCAAGTGCGCCTCCAGCGAGCCAATGGCAATGCAAACGAGCGAAACGTATTACGATTTTAAAACATCGGGGAACCTTTAAACTACCGTGTGGCCGATTTGATGGGAAAAAATTCGTGCAACCAAACAGTGACTTGCAATTGGCTGTGTGAACCTTTCAAATAACCCGGTGTGATTTCTTCCAAGTGCAGCTGCAGATTATTTATTCGGTGAACTGCTATATTGCCGTACATAGCAGCCGGCTGTTTGCGTACGTGCGTTCCTGTGAAAGTCTTATTGCGTTTAAAATGCCCTCTTAATTTTTGCTATTGTCTTCCCAGATGCCCGATTCAGCGTAAGGAGCTCATCGGATACAAACACTCCCGCCGCCCCACAGGACTTACGGGAGGCGCCACGTCCACGTGAACCGACGCGCACCATTCACCCGAGCGTGCGACGATAACGACGATCTGGACGTGAGCGTTATTGGGACCGTGTTGGCTGGCGCTGCTCGCGAGGAGACTTTTGTGCGCAAAACCACGGTGGCGCCCCACTCCCTTGTTTGTGCGTTAGCTTTTGCAGCCTTCCCGCAGCGACGATGGCTGGTGGTGTGACGGCATTCCCGGCGGTTTTTGTACTGCTGGCGCTCGTCCTCGTGTCGAGCGTGCCGTCCACCACGCTGGACTTTGGGCAAGTTCCTACGGCCACCTACGTGACCGACACCAGTTACGACGCCGGCGCCATCGGAACGCTCTTCTTGATGATGCACAAGTTTCTGGACCTCGTTCAGCCGAATTCATTTCCTCACGGTGAGTGCTTTGGGAGATCGTGTGACTATATTGGAGTGTTGGTATATATACATGCGGTTTATATTTCAGTTTTATTGATTTGGTGTAGCCCTGTGAGCCATTCGGCTCTTGAATCAGGTGCAACCGCAACAAACAGAAAACAAAAACACGAACAAGGAAACATCTTAAAGTGACTTTGCGCAAACAGAAAAATCCAGGAAAAACTGCGAAGTCTTCCAGAAAAAGCACCGTACACCAACGCTGTGTGCAACAATCCCAGTGGGATGCAAGTCAAACAACAACCACAAGACAACTTAGATTAAGGCCATCAGTCTAACTCCATACTACAACAACACAAACATGGCCAAACCAAACAGCTTTTCGAAATCACCAAAATAAAGCCATAAGCAATCTAACAGTGATCATAGGAACTGTGACCGAAATTTCACAATAAACGACATAAACAACATGTACCACCAAACCCTGTAGCCATAGCTGGCCGCATGAGTTTAGCCAAAATCCTATAAGGTCATCCTTTCCGTAGATTCAAAAGGGTAAATGTGCAGCCGCACAATGACCTGAGTTAGATTCCCCACCACGGCCAACATCGGTGGCCAATTATATCTGACCTGATTCTGTCCTTTTTACCATGTCACTAACCTGCGCAGACCGGCGTAGTGAAGTATGGTCAAACGCCTCCCACGGCTGTCACCGCACGTTGAGGCCATCGTCCCGCAGCAAATTGCTAAGGGTCTGTAAATGACCGCGTTGTTTGAAAATCACAATTCTCTATAAGCTAAATTTCGATGTAAAGCTTTCGTGACTGCAGGGATTCATCTTCTTGGTTCTTTCGGTAAAGTCACGTAGAAGGGAAGTAATAAAATAATAAAAATAAAACATAATGAAATAATTCTCACGACGTTTCGGCCACAACGCAAGCAGCCGTCCTCAGGTGAAGAACAGGTCTGTCGACAAGATATAGTTTTTCACCTGAGGACGGCTGCTTGCGTTGTGGCCGAAACGTCGTGAGAATTATTTTATTATGTTTTATTTTTATTATTTTATTACTTCCCTTCTACGTGACTTTACCGAAAGAACCGAGAAGATGAATCCCTGCAGGCACGAAAGCTTTACATCGAAATTTAAATGCGTTTAGATGATTTTGCTGCTATAAATGTACACGTGATAAGCCACTTGGTTGAGCTATTAATTGTGCCCAGGTCACTTCTGAAAAATAAACCAAAAGCTCAGTGGGCTTTACCTGGTAAGAAAAAGAAAGTGTTATTTGTATATATTTATATATTTGTATATATTTATATATTTGTATATATTTCAAGTGATTTGTTCACCTCTCGTATATTTTCACTCCTGCCGTGTTTGTTGTTGTCACGTTCTGGCCCCGTGCCCCTACCGGGCACCTGTGAAACAGAGCTTCATAGCTCATCGGATTCCTCCACGAGAAACACATTCTGATTCTGAATTGTCTCACGTACCCCCGGGAGATGTCTCGTGTAACCACACGTGGTGACCTTGCCACACGCAGAAAACCGCCGCTCCATAGCAAGTTTCGGCACAATTTATGTTCACAAATTTGTGCTCAGGTTTCCACGCTCAGAAATATTTCACAGCGGCACTTTACGTGCGGAGTTTGGTCGCGTAGGATACGTGCGCGTGCATATCAAGGCAAAGATTACGCGATGCACACCTTTGAAAACGTTTACCGGGAACAATTCATTACTTTGTTTTTGTTCAAAGAGATTGTGAGGTTTACATTTTTTCGCGGCATTTCTCTCTCGCAGAGCTACTCGCCAAAGCTATGAAGCAAGGTTTTGGAGTCGTAAACAAGGACTATCGCCAGGTTAGTTTGCACGCTTCGCAATTTCACTTGCGCTCTTGCCTGCTCTGCAAAGACGAGCCACTTGTTTGTGTCATCGTGCATCACTTTCACAACCTCAGTGCTTGCTTGGGATACGATGTCTTGCTTGGGATACAACGCCTTGCTTGGGATACGACGTCTTGCTTGGGATACGACGCGCTTGCTAGAACTTGTATGGGTCGTGATGAGTCACCGCGTAGACCCCATTCACGACTCTTCCTCACCACCATCCCCGTAGGCTCCTCTCAGCAAGATAAAGTGATGTTAAATTTTATTTTATTTCAATTTATTTGTATTTATTTATGCATTTATTTCAATGTATGTATGCATTTTAGTAATAAGTAGTGTCTAAATAATTTTATACAGCCCTATTAATGTATAATATGCCATATAAAATATCATTTATTCTCTGGAACGGATTATTCCTTCCCCGTTATTTCTTATGGGAAAAACTCGTTTGTTATACGGCATTTCCGGTATAAGTCCTACCTTCTGGAACGAATTAACGACATGTACCGAGGTTCCACTGTACAGAGGATCCCCGCTTGTCTGTGGTTCCTGGCACCTCTGAGTTGTTCTATCTCTGTGGTGAACGCCGTGCAAGCGCGTTGCACCTCGAAACGATTATACCATCATTAAGTGCCGTAACCTGCAAGCCTGGCGGTTCAACTCGGCGTGGGTGACTTGGTGATGTGGCTCACGTTGCCCTCAGATCATCCGCTATGAGCTCGGCTTTATCGTGTGCGCGGCTTTGGGCGTCGCCTTCCTGCTGCTGCTCCCGCTGGCGGGCTGCTGCATGTGCCGCCGCCGCCGCTGCTGCGGGAACCGCCGCGGAGAGATGCTTCGGAGGCCACGGAAGAACGACGACTGCAAACGCAGCTGCCACGGCGCCTCGCTCCTCCTCGTCACGCTCGCCGTCGAGTGAGTCGTCTCGTTAAATTTCGATTTAAAGCTTCTTTCGTGACTGCAGGGATTCATCTTCTTGGTTCTTTTGGTAAAGTCACCACGTAGAAGGGAAATAATACTCGGTCAGCTGAGCCTTCTTATCCCGGAGTTTGTTGAAGGATCTCAAAGTTATGTGGAATCCCTCCCCGTAGAGGCGGTTAAATTTCGATTTGAAGCTTTCGTGACTGCAGGGATTCATCTTCTTGGTTCTTTCGGTAAAGTCACCACGTAGAAGGGAAATAATACTCGGTCAGCTGAGCCTTCTTATCCCGGAGTTTGTTGAAGGATCTCAAAGTGACGTGGAATACCTCCCCGTAGAGTTAAGCCAGCAGTGTTTGTGTGTTCTCTGCGGTAAGTAAAACGTGTTTCTGCTTCCCCTTTGCGTCTCCGTGCAGGGCGGGCATTGTGTGTGCCTACGTGGCCAACAACAATGTGACCAACAATATCCGGCAGTCGGAGACCCTGCTGTCGAGCAACTTGAAGGACGTCCGGACCCTGCTCAACACTACGCCCCGTGTAAGCGGCAGCTGCCCCAGCCTCACGTCCGCGCAGTTTCCTCCGTTAAATGTCACCGAAAAGCACGCACCTGTGGGTGTAGATTAAATGTGAGCAAATGATTCGCAGTGGCGCACAAAACATAAACAACAAGAACAACTCGACGCAATTATCAATGCCACTGCATTAATATGAAAAGTATAATATAATAATGATAATTGTTTTTTTACCATTCTATCTGGCAACAAAACTGACACCTTTTTTACAAGGAGTCATGTTTACATAGACCACAATACCTGCAGTCATAATCCCAGTGGGATGCAAGTCAACAACAACAACAACCACAAGACAACTTAGATTAAGGCCATCAGTCTAACTCTGTACTACAACAACAAACATGGCTAAACCAATACACTTTTCGAAATCACCAAAATAAAGCCATGAAAGTGGTGTGCACGCTGCAGTGGTTCTTGTTAGGGGGCTCTGTGCAAATTGCAGGTGGGCATTGCGGATAATTTGTAGAATTCCACTTGTTGTGAAATGTAAATGAAAGGAGGATTCCAACTCACAAATAGTCTGCGGCGTAACTCGTTTTGTGGCTGTGGCTTGGCATATCAGAGCGTGGTTTTGAACAGGGTACAAGGCAGAGGTCGCAAACGGGTTTTGATTCCTTACCCGTACCCGTACCCGGCCGCACCAGGGTCGCAAATGGGTACCCGTACCTGGCCGGGTACGGGTAGCCGGGTATCGGGTAGGGTACGGGTATCGGGTACCCGGTTGCGACCTCTGGTACAAGGCGGTCGTGTGACTGACTTGAGTGTGTTTCTTTCTTTGCCTTTAGCAAATCGACTACATCGTTGAAAAATACAACATCACGAAGGACAGGGCGGTTTCCGATCTCGACCGTGAGTGTAAATATATAGGCTTGTTGCTTGTTCATTTTGGGGTTATAGGTATCTGAAAATGTTTTACTTCTTTAATCATAGTAAGTAATTGTATCCGTATCTCTTGGCATTATCTGCAGTGTCGGGTAATAATGTCCTTTCTATTAAGGCAGCATTTCATAGTCATCACAACTTTTAGTGATGTCCCAGTGCGGACCCCTTTGGGACTAATGCTGTTTTTCCGTGACCGTTGGAAACCGGGCGCGACATCAGCAGCGTGTCCGTGTCCCCCTCACTCGTGAGCCACGAGGCTGTGGGGCAGCTCCATGTCCACTCCCCTCACTGCCCTTTTCTACCGTCCACGGCCTTCTGGAAAGCGACCGGTGGAACGACTATTGCAAATCGCTTTTCAACGCAGGCTACGTTAAGGCGATTCCCCCGAGCTAATGTCTTTGTCATGTTCATCCGTTCCTGCTGGAGGCTGAACTAAGTGCTGATCACCACCGGCTCTGGGTTGATATCCGGATGTGACACCGTGACCGGCCGCGAGGGTGGACGACCGATCCGGCCCGTCCCTCCCAGCGGTCGTGGAGATGCGGCAAGACGGCCTCCGTGTGTGTCGCGCTCGATTGCACGTGCGGCCTCGCTCCCCCGAGCCGATAACGTCGGCGTCAATACTGCCGTTATTTGTTCAAACGTTCAATGAAATGGGTACACATTGCGCACCTGGTAATTGCTAGAATTTGAAACTCGGGGGGGAGGGGGGTGAGACATGGAGTTTCATGTGCTTAAATAGAAAAAAGCGTGTTTCTTCGGCCAGTGATTATTTATTCAACATTGCGCCGACATATCTTTCCAAAGACAGAGATCACCGGTATATTTTGTGCAGGTGAGCGGCATGCCACGAGTGAATAGAAACAGGTGGGATGGAGGAAGAGCAGCAGCCCGCACTCATTGTGGGCACGAGCTATCGCGCCGTTCGCCTTCTTGTTTTCCAATCAATGCCTCTCTACTCCAGCACAGAGGCCACGGGTATTTGTAGACACCATACCTGATGCACAATTCGTTTATTTTCCGAGAAACAAAATAAATTTTTCACCGTACACTCTCTTGCCAAGGCCTACAAGTTACATGTACGTGAGGTGATTTTTCCACATTTGTCCGCGTGATTGTTCCCGATATGTGCGCTATAAGAGCCTCGTACCGAAACCTCGCCTTTCATGTTAGTCTGATTTAAATGTAATTAATGGTTAATAATGAAAAAAAGTCGCAATGAGCAGAAACTAAATGTGCAACTCCATTCAGTATGAACATGATGCTGTCATTTTAATTTTAAAGATAATGTGACGAATTGGAGAAGCCGGGTCAGGTGACGTGGTTAATCTAACTTCCTGGATCTTATCCTGAAGACGTTTGGCACATTTTCACGTAAAACATCGGGTATCTAATTGTTATATTTAGTTGCGATAATTAATTGTCGGGAGCGCTTGTACATGTGACATTTTAATATGTTTGGCTATGTCAGGTGGTACGACAGAAATTTGGGCAGATTATTACGTGGTCTAACCCAAAAGTCAATTATGAATACAAAATAAACACTTTAACTTGGTTGCGTTGTAGCACTTGCTCCAGTGCATGTGGAACAGAGGTCGCAAACGGGTTTTGATTCCTTACCCGTACCCGGCCGCACCAGGGTCGCAAACGGGTCCCCGTACCCGTACCCGGCCGTACCCGTACGGGTATCGGGTACCTGATTGCGACCTCTGGGATGAAGCCATGTTGCAGGCGCGGGTGGGTTGATTCTAGGAACTTGAATTGTGAGAAGAGACAAGACGTTGGGAAATGAGTGACAAACGGTGACTCACCAGTGACTCACCGTCTACCCGTACCCGTACCAGGCCGCACCAGGGTCGCAAACGGGTACTCGTACCCATACCCGGCCGGGTACGGGTAGCCGGGTATTGGGTAGGGTACGGGTATCGGGTACCCGGTTGCGACCTCTGATGTGGAATTGGTAACCCCGTAACTTGTTGGCCTCACAAGGGCCTGATTCAATTAGGAGCTGCTTAGAGCACGATAGGGATAATGGTGGTGAGGCATTACAGGTGACACAACATCTGAAGGGTGTTGTAGCTGCTAGCAGCTCATGTAAATATGAAATAAAATAAGAGATGTTTGCGTGGCCAGGTGGCAGCCCTTGAGTGTGGCTGCTTTGTGCCCCTGGCGGTTCGTTTCTAATCTGTGCTCATCTGCTGGGCCCTGTGTGATGGAGGGCAAACAAACAGAGGTGAACAGGAAAAGCGTCAATTTTAAGAACATTGGGTTGGTGTTTTGAAAGGTCTGTGGCAAGGGCTGCACGTATGGGTTTTTTAATTAACCCAATCCCCCCCCCAAAAAAAATCCATCCTAAATGTGAACTTACATCTGATAACTAAAATATGTTGGTCTTAAAATGCTTTCTCCAGTGTTAATACTATTGTAGAGAAGTTCTCGCGAACGTACTTGGAGACGGAGGTAAGCTAAGGGCTTTCGCCAGGGTTTATTAAAGCTGTTGCAATATTACACACCAGGGTACACAACTCCCAGGGGCTAGGGGGCTCCTACTCGGAGTCCGGGTCCCTGCCGACTAGCTCCGGTCTCTCTCTCTCGTGTCGCATCGTGGACTCTGCAGACTCCACAGACACACACACATACACACACCCAGACACACACACAGACACACACACAGACACACACAGCAACACACACACAATACAACAACAACAACCGCCATTCGCCACTAAGTGGCGGTGACGTCACCACGATGCTTGTGCCAGGCCAAGTGCACCTTGAGGCCACGTGAAGTGTCGAAAGCCCGCTGGCAGGAGGTCACGGGGCAGACCCAGCAGGTGCCACGGGTCGACTGACTGAGATGACCGAGATGACTGGCTGATGCACCACCTGTGCCCCCTACTGTGCCAACTTGCTGTGCTTTAGCCACCCGGCGCTCCGCTCGTTGTTGTGAGCGTCGCTCCTCCGCCCTCCGTTGTTGTTGGAGGGCGACTGCCTCCAACTGCCCAGTAGCGTCCTTCACGAGCCTCCTCCACTGAGGCCGATCTTGACACCGCTGGTACCAGTCATCGGCAAGTCCACTCAGCTCCACGTCCTCCTGTACCACATCACTCCATCTCTTCTTCAGCCCGTGCCGCGCCCGTCTAGCCCCCTCGATCCGGCCGAACAAAAGCTGTTTAGGCATGCGGTGGCTGGGCATGCGGGCTACATGACCCAGCCAACGCAGCCTTGCCTGCCGGAGGAGCTCACTGATGGGACTTTGCCCAGATCTTTCAAGGATTTGTGAGCTCCTCACACAATCCAGCCTGGTTAAACCCAGGATGGATCGTAGGCAGGCCAGCCTAAATGTTTCCAACCGGCGAAGATGCTCCACCAGGGGGGTCCACGTCTCGCAAGCGTAGAGAAGGGAGGGAATGACCGTGGCCGAGAAGACCTGAAGCTTCGTGCGGAGCGACAGACCAGGTAGCTTCCACACAGCGTTACGCAACCGATGAAAAGATATTGCCGCTCGACTGATTCGGAGTGAGACCTCTGCTGATAGACTGGAGCCGGTCATAAGCACACTGCCCAGGTATGGGAAACTCTCCACTCTCTCCACAACTGCCCCATCACCAATTGGGAGTTGTGGGGGTGGAGTGTCCGATGGTACAACATACCCAGGCAGGTGCTTAGTTTTGGTGGGGCTGATGGTAAGGCCCCACCTCTTAGTGGCACGCTCCAGTCTCAGCAGCAGCGCCTCCAACTCCTCTTCTGAATGAGCAGCTATTACCAAATAATCGGCATACATAACGTGGTTGACCAATAGGGAGCCATCCCTTGATCGCACCCGGGCGTCGATCAGCCTCCCATTATATCTGTACCAAATGGAAATTCCCCCGGTACAGCTATTGAAGGCTTCACGAACTACGCGGTCAAAATAGATGTTAAATAATGTGGGAGCCAGAGGACATCCCTGTCGCACCCCAAGGTGTACAGGGAAAGGCTCCGACTCCCGGCCACGTAGTTTTACCCGGGCCCGCTCACCATCATGAAGGTCCTTAATGATCGTGAGCAGAGGGTCAGGGACTCCGAAAGCACGAAGAACAACCCAGAGCCCAGTCCTACTGATGGTATCATAGGCCTTGACCAGGTCAATAAAGCAGAGATGTAGGTCTTGTTGGAATTCCCTACACCTCTGCTGTAGCAGACGGACAGAAAATATGGCATCTGTGCAGGAACGCCCTTTCCTGAAACCGCATTGGGGCTCCGCAAGCCTCTCCTCAGCGTGCCTAGCAAGGCGATGTTGAATAATCCTTGCCAGGACCTTACCCGGCACACTGAGGAGTGAGATGCCCCTGTAGTTGTTACAGTCGGTACGGTCCCCCTTCTTAAAGAGGGGAACCACCAGGGCATCCTTCCAATCCTGCGGAACCCGTCCAGTGGTCCAGACTGTTGTTATGATGTCATATAGGGCAGTCTGTGCACAAACGCCACCCTCCCTCAGCATTTCGCTTGGGAGATCATCTCTGCCCGATGCCTTTCCTGGTCTCAGACTGTGGATCGCCCTCAGTACTTCCTCAACAGCTGGCACCTCAGCCAGCCACTCACAGGGGGTGACCTCTTCCAATATTTGAGGCACCGCAGCCTCAGCAGGGTTATCACCACTTTGTGCCATGATGTTTTCCTGGCTGAGAGAATTTCCCTCCCCCAGGACCTCACAGAAATGCTCAGCAAATCTGCAAACCTGTTCCTGGGGGTCGGAGATTGGATCACCGTTTTTTCCTCTAATGATGGTAATAGGTGTGGCGCTGCAGGTTACTTTTTTGATGGAGTTAAATAGTGATTTGTGATCACGGGCCACTGAGGCAGACTCCATCTCCTCAGCAACCCGCGACCACCACCCATCCTTACAGCGCCTTACGGCTCTCCGAACTTCCGAGCGAAGGCTGCGGTAAACCTCCTCATTCTCTGACGTGGGATGCTGTAGGCGATGAGAGTGGGCCTGTCGCTTTTTCTCAATTAACCTGAACACCTCCTCTGTCAGCCAGGGTTTCTGGGGAGGTCTGGACCGCATACCCAAAGCAGCCATTGCAGCTGCATGAGTCACAGTCTTAAACCTCGCCCATTTCCCCTCGACATCAGGTGGAGTGGGGGACGATGCCAACCCCAGCTGCAAGCGATGATGAAATTCTCGCTTGCAACTTTCATCAGCTAACTACACACATACACACACCCAGACACACACAGACACACACAGACACACACACAGACACACACAGCAACCCAGACACACACCCAGACACACACACAGACACACACAGCAACACAGACACACACCCAGACACACACACAGACACACACACAGACACACACACAGACATACACAGCAACACAGACACACACACAGACACACACAGCAACACAGACACACACCCAGACACACACACAGACACACACAGACACAGACACACACACAGACACACACAGCAACACAGACACACACACAGACACACACACAAACACACATCCAGACACACACAGACACACAGCAACACAGACACACACACAGACACGCACCTCTCCAGCTACCACCGGCTTCTCCCCAGACTCCCTATTCGATCCCTCTCTCTACCCCTGGTTCCCTCTTCACCCTGCTCACTCTACCCGTTCCCACGGTGACCCCGCTTACGTCACGGGGTCTCCCTTAAGTACCCTGGGAGACGTGACGTCATCGCACTGAACGGCACGCCTGACGTCACGTCCCCATTTTACTCCTCTACACTATGAACGTTGCAGTTCTGCATCACAGTGTGACTAATCGCTTCTTTGCCTCTGCTCGCCACGCAAGTTAAGTCAGCGTTCAGGGGCACGGCGTTCGCAGTTGCCTTACATCTCGATCCGATCCGTGCCGGTTCGGACAATTTTACAGACGTGGGACCGTTGCTGGGCCAGAGGATCCAGAGGCGGCTGGGCACGAAGGTTTATCCCGCGCTACGGGCTGCCCTGCAGATGGCCGACGGTCAGTGTCCACACGGCACCTTTGCCAACCGCGACGAGCGCGGTTGGCCGCGTGCAGCGCGGACCGAGTTCGACGCAGTGCATACGTAGAGCGCGCACGCCACGGCTACGCGGGAGCAAAGGCAACGGAGTGGAACCGTTTTATAAAATTGAAACGTTCACATTTTAGGTTGCAATCAGGTCCAGTGGCGGTGGGGGGGGGGTAGATCTGTTGCGTTGGGGGGTGAGGTGCAAAATACGAGTGGTGGACAACAGAGGAGAGGGAATGCTGGTGGGGGGGGCCATCAGGGACACTTTTGGTGGTGCAGGACCAGCCCCACAAGCCCCACAAGCCCAGCTGCACGTTCCCATGAAATGCGATGGAAACTGTTCAGGGAGAAATAGATTGGGCAGAGTTTGGGGGGGGTGGGGGCATGGGGGGGGGCTTAGCCCCCCCCCCCCCCGAACTGGGCACCTTTATTAATTTATTTTCAGTCGTTTACAAGTAAGGTTCAAAATAAATAAATTATATGCACCCGCGATAGAATTCAAACTCCGCCTATGAGAAATTGTTATTCTACACGTCAAATTATTGTACATATTAGATGCGTGTCCTTCTCGACAAATTGTTTGCACTTGATGATGTTTGCGTTTTAGAAATTTGAATGTGCCAGTCATTGTTTTTCATTCCTTTCCTTCTCTGTGTTGCTTGAGCTACAGTGAGGGAAAAAAATATTTAATCCCCTGCTGATTCTGTACGTTTGCCCACTGACAAAGAAATGATCAGTCTATAATTTTAATGGTAGGTTTATTTGAACAGTGAGAGACAGAATAACAACAAAATCTAGAAAGACGCATGTCAAAAATGTTATAAATTGATTTGCATTTTAATGAGGGAAATAAGTATTTGACCCCACTGCAAAACATGACTTAGTACTTAGTGGCAAAACCCTTGTTGGCAATCACAGAGGTCAGACGTTTCTTGTAGTTGGCCACCAGGTTTGCACACATCTCAGGAGGGATTTTGTCCCACTCCTCTTTGTAGATCTTCTCCAAGTCATTGAGGTTTCGAGGCTGACGTTTGGCAACTCGAACCTTCAGCTCCCTCCACAGATTTTCTATGGGATTAAGGTCTGGAGACTGGCTAGGCCACTCCAGGACCTTAATGTGCTTCTTCTTGAGCCACTCCTTTGTTGCCTTGGCCGTGTGTTTTGGGTCATTGTCATGCTGGAATACCCATCCACGACCCATTTTCAATGCCCTGGCTGAGGGAAGGAGGTTCTCACCCAAGATTTGACGGTACATGGCCCCGTCCATCGTCCCTTTGATGCGGTGAAGTTGTCCTGTCTCCTTAGCAGAAAAACACTCCCAAAGCATAATGTTTCCACCTCCATATTTGACGGTGGGGATGGTGTTCTTGGGGTCATAGGCAGCATTCCTCCTCCTCCAAACACGGCGAGTTGAGTTGATGCCAAAGAGCTCCATTTTGGTCTCATCTGACCACAACACTTTCACCCAGTTGTCCTCTGAATCATTCAGATGTTCATTGGCAAACTTCAGACGGGCATGTATATGTGCTTTCTTGAGCAGGGGGACCTTGCGGGCGCTGCAGGATTTGAGTCATTCACGGCGTAGTGTGTTACCAACTGTTTTCTTGGTGATCGCATAGTGTGTTACCAACTGTTTTCTTGGCGATCGCATAGTGTGTTACCAACTGTTTTCTTGGCGATCGCATAGTGTGTTACCAACTGTTTTCTTGGTGATCGCATAGTGTGTTACCAACTGTTTTCTTGGTGATCGCATAGTGTGTTACCAACTGTTTTCTTGGCGATCGCATAGTGTGTTACCAACTGTTTTCTTGGTGATCGCATAGTGTGTTACCAACTGTTTTCTTGGCGATCGCATAGTGTGTTACCAACTGTTTTCTTGGCGATCGCATAGTGTGTTACCAACTGTTTTCTTGGCGATCGCATAGTGTGTTACCAACTGTTTTCTTGGTGATCGCTTGCTCGTTGACGCGCTCCCCCCCCCCCCCCGTCCCGGCAGTGATGTTGGCGACGCGCCTGGCGCTGCTGGACGTCAACACGTCGCTCTCGGTGCTGCGCGACGGTTCCGAGAAGCTGCAGAGGAACTTGACGACCGTGCGCAGCGGCCTTAACGCGACCCTCAATGACCCCGTGTGCCAGAGGGCTCAGCGGTGCGTCGCCATGTCGGGGCAGCTCGTCCTGCTGAATATCCACGCCGACTTCAGCTTGGTACGTGTGAGTGTGTGTGTAGTAGGTTCAAAGAGACTTGGACGACATAGTCGGAGGCACCCTTATTTATTAACCGTTTCACTCAGCACAGGCCAATGTATACAACACTCGGAGGGGTATCGGCCCCTTCACCCGTCTAACAGGGAGACCCCACTATCTCTATCCCGGCCAGCCTACTCCCAGGTCCTCCACTACAGGGCTAGGGGAGGCTAGCTGACCCAGCTCTGGTTAAGCTGGGATCACGGCACCCTGAGTCACCAGACCGGCTCTTACAAGAGCATCGGCTCTGGGCTATCTGGGCCACGCCACTGGCTTGCCCTGGTCGGTCCTGAGAAGGACAGCGAGCCAGGGGAGTCCCAGGGCCTATCTAGTTGGTCTCCCTTCTTCACTGGTTTGAGCTAAACACTGAACCCCGAGCCCACCGGCTCACCGCCTTATATAGCAACTCCTCCCCGAGGGGTGGGGCCGTGGGGGATCACAGCGCCGTTTCAGCCCCCCAGGCTAAACGATGCGGACGTGGATGTAAGCATCCTTCCGCGTGCGGGCATAACCACACCCCTGGTGTGTTTGTTCGCCCTCCCGTAACACCTCTACATGTGTACGTGGAACTTATGTCGCATCGTATGTAGCCAACCGCCGTAATCAACGGTGCAGGGGAAGAACGGCAAACTGGTGAGCGCCAGCGTGGCTACTCACGCTGCCTCTAATCCACAGCAATCGCTGAGGCGGTCGAGGGTTGGTGGATGACAAGCACGTTCGGGAAACTCTCAAATCTGCCGGGCTGCGAGGTCGCCTTCTCCTTGTTTTGCCAGGGCGCGGCAGTACAGCAAGTTGCTTCATTTGCATCTGTATTCCATCTGTACGGGGATTGGGTGTTACCCCCCTCCATCCGTGCATTTGAATTGTCTCCGAGGGCTCTGGTTTCCTGTATAAGTACTCAATGGAGATGGTCAAACATCCTCATATAGAGCCATAGAGGCTTGAGCAATTGTTGGTGCTGGTTCTGGCTGCCTTCCTGCTTGTCTGTGATTTCCCATGCCTCTGAATCAAACGCCAACCTCCTGGGTTTAAAGTGTTAGATATACGCACGAGATGTAACCAATTCCCTCTCCTCATGAGGGGAGGAACTTCTGTGCAAAGAGGCTGGATGTTGTCTTTCCATGGCAGCCTTAACTGTAGATTACATGAATTTGTGTTCTTCCAGATACAAAAAGACCAAGCTTAACCACTGTAAATGTCTAATTAATGCCTGAGCTTCGAAACAATGTTTGTACAATGAGCACTGAAGAACAGGTTTACTGAACATTGAAAGGGGACCGGGTTTGGTTTAGTTTGACAGTGCGCAGAGCTGATGGTGGTGTTTACCTTCCTGTGCAGCCGCAGGACGTGTCCCGGGAATTGGAGCAGGTGAAGAGACTGCTAGACACCAACTTTACAGCGATGGTTGACAAGGTATGTACTGTTTTTTATTTTTTATCTTGTAATGCACACGTTTTCATACATTAAACATTATACATTTCTACGTGACTTTACCGAAAGAACCAAGGAGATGAATCCCTGCAGTCACGAAAGCTTTAAATCGAAATTTAATCGCCACTACGGGGTGGGATTCCACATAACTTTGAGATCCTTCAACAAACTCCGGGATAAGAAGGCTCAGCTAATCGAGTCTCTCAACTTTATGAAGAGATGCCGCGACTCTAAGGTAATACCAATCGCATTTACACTAACCTCTGCTGCTGTAACTTCTTCTAATGCTAAACGAATTCTGTCTAGAACTAGCTTAGCTCTTATCTCAGAGAAAATCAGACTTACGCGCACCGATCTTGATCAGTTAGACAAGACACTCTACAAATCACACTTATCTTTGACTGCAACAATGTCCACATCAGATTGGGAACATGTAGACAAAATGACTGCCTCTTCAGCTGCCGCTATGTCGACCAAATGTAAGGACAACTTGATTTCCAAATTCAACCGGCTCTCAAACAAGAGACCGGACCCACACACTGAAAAAGCTAGACATTAACGAAGTCGTAATTAATCGCAGTAACAGTTCTCTTTCTGAAATAAAAAAAATAAAAAATTCTACGTGAAGATTTTCAAAAATTCTGTTCGCTAGTGTGTTTGAGACTTAAAAGTTAAGAGTATTGGTGACACAAAGTAAATCGTAAAACTGCTACATCAATGTTACATTTTTCGGTGTTATTTTTCTCCCCTGCGCAGGGTTATGCAGCTTTTAATGGCACGCCTGAAATCATCGCACAGCAAACGAGAAACATTGCTGCAGGTAAGATAACAAAGCGGTGATGAAGTATAATAACACGCAGATGGTTTTCTCAAACTTATATTCTTGGTTCTTTCGGTGAAGTCACGTAGAAGGGAAATAATAAAATAATAAAAATATAAAACAATACAATTCTCAGGACGTTTCGACTGCAACACAAGCAATCATCATCAGGTGTGAAATCCACAGCAAGAAAATTTGAAAAAAAGTGGCGTTATTTTCTTTAACGTCAGCACCACGGATTTATCAAATCCTTCGAATGATTGCTAAGCGAGAATCCATCGTCTCGGTTAAATCAAAATTTCTCAAACTTGTTCACACATTATTGATGAGCAGGGAATTGACACTGCTGTGTGTAATACAAACATTTATTTGTTCCTATTGCTTTTGCGCGGATCGTTAAACATTGTCTTTTCAGCGAAGTTGCGTAAGTGCGGTAAACGTAGCATGCATGGAAACATCCTGTGATTATAAGAGGTTGGTGGAACCGTGTCTAGTTCCGCCGTAGCGTGGTTAGTTAAGTGCTCACCACCCGAGGGTATGTTGTGTTAATAGCCCTGGAGGATGTTGTGCAAATAGTTAATACACGTGTTGCTCCTAAGATAACGTCTGCGACTTAGTTGGACTCAAGCCATATGGATGGTTTCGTGAACAAATCTTTGTTGATAGCCAATCGGCTTGCAAAGTACCATCGTCTTAGAGAAATAAATGTCGTGTGAGCCAGACGCATTAAAGTAATGATCAGCCACGGCAAAAGTATTGGTCCTGCCGTGTTTCAGATCTGCCTTGTGTTCACGAACACGGTCCGAGACATGTCAGAAATCTTGTCCTTCACAGATGGGATCAGGTCACGAATTTTATGTACAGTGTTAAATGGGACCTGGATCTTGTGTTTGTTCAAGATTTTGGAAATCTTTTTGGTTATCACTGCTATGTAAGGCAAGGTGATGGTTTTTATTGGATCTTCAGATGGCTCCTTCTTCACAGTTTGGGTGATGACTTTGTGGATTGTGTAGTCAGAATATCCATTCGCCTTGAGAGCCTGGTGTAGGTGTGTGAGTTCACTGGTCAGATATTCATGGTCGGAGACACATTTTTGATGAGGGAATTCTCCTGCGATGGATGGTGGTGGGAATCCGGTTTTAGGTAGGCGTCAGTATGGGCTACTTTCCTGTAGACAGAGTGGATCAATGCTGATAGATGAAGTCCGGTCACCGTATTGTGCTTTTGACATGTACCTCCACACACAGAAAGGACAACGGTCAACACATTTTATTCTACGTGCTTGTGAGTTAATTGCTAATTATTAAAATGTATTGGATAGATTTAGCAGCGTCACAGTGATTTGGGTACCATCTTTCTTACCTCTGTATTCTTAGTATGTAAATTGTATAAATCACGACATTAATACATGGACGTTGAGATTAAAAATGAGAGTATTGCATTAATCTTCAAAGTCATTATCCAATATTGTGCCGCATAATCCTGTATTTCAAAATAAGTGTTTTAGTCCATCAGCATATCGTTCTGGAAATCCACGAGGAGATTGGCTAAAACATTTATGAATGTATACGTGGAGACACGAGAATGGAGTTCTGCTTCTAAGGTGATTGGTCATTCATCATGGTGTCTGGGACATGGCCCCACAACTTCTGGCAAACTGTTGGGGCCGCACTGCCGGCACTCATTGCCGGCGCGTACGTGCTTGCGAGCGTGCGTGCGAGCGTACGTACGTGCGTGCGTGCGTGCGTGCTTGCGAGCGTACGTGCGTGCGTGCGAGCAGGCGTGAAGGATCTACTGGACCACGTGGGCACCAGCATCAAGACGACGGCGAGGCAGCTGCCCCTTCAGCTCGTGGTGCACAACGGCACCAAGTACCTGGACATGGGCCAGGCGCTGGTGCACGAGCACCTGCCCACGGTCGCCCAGTACGACTTCTACAGGCAAGTGCCGCAGTGAAGCGCCGTCGGGTGCGACGGGACTTCTCGCCATAGTAAGCACGTGGCAATAGTAATTTCGTGTTGGTGCACAAATGGGGAAGCCGTGTCGATAAGAACTGAGAGATGAGAACGTTGTTGTCGCGTGTAGAAACAGTCAAGGGCTCGCCTTGGAGAGCGCTCGCATGGACACATCCTCCTTGAGAAGGAGCAGTGAGTTCAACGGAGGCGCACATCAATTCTGCAATGAATTTGGTCACTCGCCTCGACATTCCCACCCGACCTTCTGTGTCGACATTGAAGGCGCTGCTTGATGACTGCGACTGCCACGCTTGCCGGTGCCATTCGTGAAGCCATTTGTGACTGGAACTTTTAGGATGTCATTTTTAGAAAGACTTCCTTCAGCGTAGGAAATGCAATTTTAATTCTTGCCGTTATAATGCCATTTTGAATGCCACATGTGGTTTCATTTCATTAGTGTCGTGCATAACGTGGTAATTTTGGATTTCTTACTATATTTCCTTTGTACATAGGTCTGGTAGTTTACTATATTATTAGTAATGTGTGTATGTATGTTGAACTTCTTTCGCACCATACGTAGCCAACCATAAACCCTCTCTTCCCATGTACCATGCTTGTTGTTAGCCAGGTCCTTGTTGAGAGAGAGCTCAGTGGGCCTCGCCCAAAACACACTGGCTGACCGACTGATGTATAGGATGCTGGAAGGGGGTGGTGGGGGAATTCCCGCCTGCTTAAGGGCACAGAGCAAACAGTGTTTATGATCATGGTTTTTTTTAATTGAAGACTAGCTTCACTACCATTCTGCCATTCTACAGTTGGACATCGGAGGCAGAATTATCCGTGAGTATTTTTGGAGCGTAACCCTCGCGTAAAAAACAAGTATAACCCGTAAAAAACAAAGTTTTTCACTCTAAATCCTTTATATGCGTGGCGGCTAGAGTCCTCTCGTCCTCTGGCTTGAGATGGCTGCCACCTATGGGTCAGATGATTGCCTGCCACCATTAAGCAATTGGTAATTAAATATAATATTTTTGTCCTAAAAAATGTCAAATTTTGGAAATATTTTTTCACGAACTTTAATTGTCACGCACAACGAGTCTGTGTGGAAAATGTCAGCTCGATTGGATCACGGGAAGTGAGTTATAAAACGACCGAAAGATTTGCACGGTTCTAAGCAAGCAAGCAAGCGAACCTTAATATAAAGGATTTAAAAAGTCCGCACCGAGGACACGTCTCTCTATTGGCAGGGGGGGGGGGGGGGTGGGGGTTTGGGGGGCCAGCCACATGAGTATTGGTGGGGTGGGGGGGGGCGCACTCACCCCCGACACGAGCGTCACGTGCTGCTGCCTCGCAGGTGGCTCGTGTGCGTCGTCCTCTGCTCGCCTCGCGGGCCCTCGTGGTGCTGCTTCAACCTGCTGGGCCTGCTGTGCGGCACGTGCGGCTACGGCGAGCACGCCGGCGGAAAACTTCCTGATGGCCGTGAGCGGCCAGCGGCGACGCGGCCCCCCCACCCCCCCCCCCCCCCCGGCAGGAAGGGAGCGGCGTTCGCCGCTTGTTGTTGTGGAGGTCCGCGTTCGAATCGGATGGGTCCCCCCTGGTTATTGTTGGAGGTGTGGGTTTAGGACAGAGGTCGCAATCGGGTACCCGATACCCGTACCCTACCCGTACCCGGCCGGGTAGGGTACGGCCGGGTAGCGGTATCCGTTGCGACCCTGGTGCGGCCGGGTACGGGTACGGGTAAGGAATCAAAACCCATTTGCGACCTCTGGTTTAGGAGGGGTAAGCTCAGGGTGGCCGTGTGCTTTCACGGTGGACGTTAAAGCTTCTCTGAGCTCAGCCGAATGGGCTTTACTCGGGAAATGCATTTCTGATTTGAGTCGGCCATTGTGTGCTCAGAGCCCAAATTTGCCAAGTAAAAAAATGGTCAACCAATGACCGGGGTGGAATGCGTAGCAATCATCGCCCCCTACTGGCAGATTGATGCCCTTGGCTTGCAGGCCAGGTGATAAGCCACCTTGTGTAGCACACGAACAACTGTCACTTGGGGAGGGGGGGTCGGGGGGGGTCCCCTTCAAAATGTGATAAGACGCGAGTCGATTATCACTTGTAACGCCACTCCGAGATGGCGCATGTGCTATATTGGAAAAGCAAATTGTATCCATGAATGGTTCAGACTTAAGGAACTGCAGTATTACGTGCCTTGCCGGTGCCATTGCTGGTCCTGTGATGGCGTGACGTGCTTTTTGGAAGGCTATGCCACGGAAGTAATGTTTACTTAAATGTGACTCTAATTCAGCATTTGAAAGAAGCACTTCAAAGAATTTTGTTTGCGTGCCGTTGATAAAGGACGTCATGCCTTTTACTGCTCGGGGCCTTGGCGAGAAGAATTTAAGTGAAAACCCGTTTTCATTTTGTTGTTGTATTCATTTGCAGCTGGGCTGAGACACATCAAAACAGGACAATTAAAAGCCTTTAAGAACACTCATGGAGTGTATTGTGCAGTATGGGAAACTGAAGTGTAGGAGCACCAATCCTGTCGGGGGGGGGGGGGATGTGTAAATGCACACCCCTGTGTGTTGTCGAATATATGTATGTATGTTGAACTTATTCCGCACCGCACGTGTGTGTTTGTGCTGTAAGCAGTGGCGTGGGCTTCAGCTTGACCTTCTCGTGGCTGCTGATGCTGGTGGTGACGCTCACGTTCGTCCTGGGCGGGAACGTGGAAAAGCTTTTCTGCCAGCCCTTGGCCGACAATAACCTCTTCAAGGTGGGCGCACCGCGCGCTCTGCTCTGTGGGCGAGAGATTCCGTGGGGTCGTCCTTGTCGTGGGGTTTCGCTGATCAAGTCCACCGGGAGCCATTGCCCCATGTTCGACGAAGACGTGCAAATGAATTGCATGCATTGAAATGAAAAGTCTCACTCGTGAGTGCTGCGTGTGCGCGCGACAGCGGAGCGCTGGTTCGCGCGCTGCGCTACGAACCTGGCGACCCGAGTTCGATTGCCGCTCACAGCTCACGTCGGCGATGGATATCTAAACTGGTTATGGGCCTTCCGCTAGATTGACTCGGCGTTAAATGAGTACCTGGTGCGGCGTGTTTGAATATACCGCGTCACTCTATCGTGTGCCATTCCAGCATTAACAGTGCTCGCAACCAGAACCTGCTCCAACAGTCTGTTAGAGGCTCTGTGCGGAACCTTTTTGCGTGAGATGGAGGCTGATTAGTTCGGTGTGGCAGTAGAGCAGGCCTGCAGCCGTGGGCCACGTTCGACGCTGATTCCTGTCGCCGCCATCCCAGCGACTGATTTGCGAATCGGGTGTCAAACCGTCTCGTGAATTTGGCAAAAAAAAACTCGCGTGGAATGTCGGACAATGCCAGAATTGCACAAAAGTGTGGAAACTAAACTACGACAATTGGGCCCATAGTGTGGGAAGGTAGTCGTCTTCCTGGAAGTTCTGCACCAGTGGTGGCAACATTCAACACATCCTGACGACACGGTGTACTCTCTCCGTAGGAGCCCCCCACCGTTGACTCCCCACGAGTTTCAGCAGGCAAACCATTTGGTGCTTAGATTACAGACCCCTACCCTATAGGGGTCAGCACTGCACGCAGAGTGTGGTGGCACTCAGCGCTTACCCAGCCCCCTCTAGGGCTGGTGCTACAACCACACGACGTACGGGGGGTGTCCGTGATGGCAAGCATCGCACTCCGCGCTTCACTCGAGCCGGCATTGGGCGCTTTGTAAACGTGTTGAAGGATTTGCTGGACGCAAAACAGTAAGAGTGCATTGTGGTAGGCTCAAATAATCTTGGTTTGCCCAGCTCACGGCATCTAAATACAACTCCTTTTCCATATTTTTGGGTTTTTTTGGTAAAGTCACGTAGGTAAAATTTTAAATGAATAAAAGTAAAATAAAATAAAATTGTTATGTAGACTAGCCGTAGTTTCAGCCGCACCAACCTTACCATAATAGTAAAAAGGGGGCCAACCTTGGCTCCTCCCACCCTCAACCTGTATATATACAAGGACTGTTTTCTTGGAATTTCTCTTCCTTGATACAGCTATCGTGTTGTGACGGTTCCACCTGAAGACGGAAGCTGTGTGTTGCTATTTTACTTTAATTAATTTTAATTTTTTACCTACCTGGTGACTTTACCGAAAAAACCCAAGAATATGAATCCTTGCAGTCACGAAAGCTTCAAATCTATAAACAACTCCTTTTGTGCATCCCATCAGCCGTGCGGAACTCTGGGAGTGCATAAGTTTGGCAGCGTACAAAGCCCTTGGCTCCGTTCGAGTGATATCTCATTACTTAGTTCTTTCGGTAAAGTCACGTAGCTAAAAAATGATGCAGCAAATCTGGCTGTGACGGTCCCACCTGATGACGGAGACTTGTGTTGCCTCCGAAACGTCGTGATTTTTATTTTTATTAATTTTAATTTCATTATTTACCTACGTGACTTTACCTAAAGAACTAAAGAGTATGAATCCTTGCAGTCACGAAAGCTTCAAATCTAGAATGATATCCCATCACGACGTACCGATACCTACAATTGACTAAATTAAATCGCCACACACAGAGTGCTTGGGATGATGCCTTTGCGGTGTAATCTTGTAGCCCGAGTTTAAAGACGAGGCACTTCCTGACCCACTCCGGTTTTAAAGTGGCGTGTGAATGCTGTCTTCTCACTCGTACCGTACTGCTGTTGAGGTTTTTTTTAAAAGTTGTTTAGGTTGACACTTGTGACCGTAACAAAACTCTGTTCAAAAGAATGGTAAAAAAAACTCACGTCGGCATCACTGTCTGGTACAGCTGTCCCTATCCTTTTAAAATGTCCTGAAATCTGCTCTAAAGCCAACACACTCGATCCATTAGTCTCTGTTTAATCCGGTATCTTTGGGAGCAGAGCATTTGAACCGTCTACAAACCGGACTTCCTCCACCCCCCTACCCTCCTCCCCCTCACGTGACTTGTCGTGTTCCCCACTTTTGACAGTTGAAAAAAACAAAATGTCTTCCTTCCTTTCTTAGTTCTTCGATACGCCAAATCTGTTCAAGCCGAAGCATCTCTTGCCAGGAGTTCTCTTCAACAATCCAGACCTGAACATTACCATTGAGGGCGTATACAGGCAAGTCTGTTGCTGTACCACACCCGCTGTTGTACCCCGTCATATGATTCTTGTTTTGACGGAGTCGCTTAGTGTGAGCGCGTTGGCTTTAAAAGGTGGTGAGCGGTGAGGGTGAGTGTTGAGGGTGAGTGGTGAGTAGTGATGGTGAGTGGTGAGCATGACTGGTGAGTGGTGAGGGAGAGTGGTGAGGGAGAGTGGTGAGGGTGAATGGTGAGGGTGAGTGGTGAGTGGTGAGGGTGAGTGGCAAGTGGTGAGGGTGAGTGGTGATTGGTGAGGGTGTGATTGGTGAGGATGAGGGTGAGGGTGAGGAGTGAGGGTGAGTGGTGAGGGGTGAGTAGTGAGGGTGAGTGGTGAGCGGTGAGGGTGAGTGTTGAGGGTGAGTGGTGAGTAGTGATGGTGAGTGGTGAGCATGACTGGTGAGTGGTGAGGGAGAGTGGTGAGGGTGAATGGTGAGGGTGAGTGGCAAGTGGTGAGGGTGAGTGGTGATTGGTGAGGGTGTGATTGGTGAGGATGAGCGGTGAGTAGTGAGGGTGAGTGGGGAGGGTGAGTGGCGGTTGTGAGTGGTGATTAGTGAGGGGTGAGGGTGAGTGGTGAGCGGTGAGGGTGAGTGTTGAGGGTGAGTGGTGAGTAGTGATGGTGAGTGGTAATTGGTGAGGGTGTGATTGGTGAGGATGAGTGGTGAGGTGAGTAGTGAGGGTGAGTGGTGAGGGTGAGTGGTTGTTGTGAGGGTGAGTGGTGAGAGTGAGTGGTGAGGGTGAGTGGTGAGCGTGAGTGGTGAGGGTGAGTGGTGATTGTTGAGGGTGAGTGGTGAGGATGAGTGGTGAGTGGTGAGGGTGAGTGGTGAGGGTGAGTGGTGAGGGTGAGTGGTGAGCATGAGTGGTGAGTTGGTGAGGGTGAGTGGTGAGGGTGAGTGTGAGTGGTGAGGGTGAGTGGCGGTTATGAGTGGTGATTAGTGAGGGGTGAGTGGTGAGGGTGAGCGTGAGTGGTGAGTGGTGAGGGTGAGCAGTGCGGGTGAGTGGTGATGGTGAGGGTGTGATTGGTGAGGATGAGTGGTGAGTGGTCAGGGTGAGTGGTGAGCGGGGAGGGTGAGTGGTTGTTGTGAGGGTGAGTGGTGAGGGTGAATGGTGGGGTGAGTGGCGGTTGTGAGTGGTGATGGGTGAGTGGTGAGGGGTGAGTGGTGAGGGTGAGTGCTGAGTGGTGAGGGTGAGTGATGAGAGAGTGGTTAGTTTTGAGGGTGAGTGGTGAGGTTGAGTGGTGAGGGTTAGTGGAGAGTGGTGAGTGGTGATTGGTCAGTGGTGATTGGTGAGGATGAATGGTGAGTAGTGAGGGTGAGGTTGTGTGGTGAGGTGAGTGGTGGTTGTGACGGTGAGTGGTGAGGGTGAGTGGTGAGGCTGAATAGTGAGGGTGAATGGTGAGAGTGAGTGGTGAGTGGTGAGGGAGAGTGATGAGGGTTAGTGGTAGGGTGAGTGGTGAGGGAGAGTGGTGAGGGTTAGTGGTGAGGGTTAGTGGTGAGGGTGAGTGGTGAGGGAGGGTGGTGATGGAGATTGGTGAGAGAGGTTGGTGAGTGGTGAGTTGTGAGGGTGACTGGTGACTAGTGAGTGGGAGTGGTGAGTGGTGAGGATGAGTGGTAAGGGTGAGTTGTGAGTGGTGAATGGTGAGGGTGAATGATGAGTACAGTCAATATGCACTTCTGTTATCATACCAGGTACCACCACCACAATATGTACTCCTCTCATCATAGCAGATACCACCACAGCAGTATGCACTGCTGTAATCATAGCAGGTACCAACACAGCAGTATGCACTGCTGTAATCATAGCAGGTACCAACACAGCAGTATGCACTGCTGTAGTGATAGCAGGTACGACCTCAGTCGGTATACACTGCTGTAGTGATAGTAGATACTGCTATCGAGTTGGTAGATACCGCTATAGTAAATACTTAAACAGTCAGTATATACCACTACAGTCAGTCAATACTGCTACAGTCAGTATATACTACTATACAGTCAGTACATACTGCTACGGTGAGTAGCTACTAGAGTCAGTAGATACTATTATAGAGTGAGTAGATACTGCTATAGATTTTGTAGTTACTACTATAGTCAGTGGATACACTATAGAGTCAGCAGATACTATACAGTTAGTCGTTACGAGTATATAGTCGGTAGATACACTGTAGGCCCAGTAAATACTACTATGGTCATAGTTATTACAGTCACTAAAATACTACTACACAGTCAGATAGCTACATATGATCAGTAGATCTACGTACAGTCAGTAGATACTACTACAGAGTCATAGATACCACTTCCTCTGTTGTATGTGAAGTGTTCTTGAAGACGCGTGGACAACGGGGTAGGCACACGTATTTATTTACACAATGTCTTTACAGTACTGGAGGGATGTATCGGCTCCCTCACCCGTACAACTGGAATTCACCCCTAGCTAGCCTTCCTAGCCGAGTCCTCCGCTAACGTGGCTAGGGGAGGCTGTCTGGCCCGACACTGGTTAGTCGGGCTACGGTACCCCGGAATCCCAGAGGTCTACTCTGGTTCCGGTACCACGCCACTGGCTCAGCCTGCACTGCCCTTACAAGGGCGGTGGTCCCAGGGGGAGTCCAGGCCTATCTGGCCGTCTTCTCTCTTCCCTTAACTACTCTAAGACTGAGCCGCCGAGCTCTCTGGCTCAACCCTTTTTATACCCCCCTAGAGGATCGAAACCCCCTCACGCCGTCCGTACTGACGTCGTTGCGGGCACCACCCCGTGTGCTCACGGAGTCCCCAGCCACATGTGTTTGTTTTCCGTTAGCCCTTATGCAAACAGCCTACACAACCAGACCCTCTGTAAACATCCCTACATATGTAGGTGTTGTTAGTAGTATAACTACGAGGGGGTAAAGATATTTTTGAGGGGGGGGGGGGGGGGGGAGACCGCAATTTTCGGAAACATTTGACATCACTATTTACCCCACACTCTCACACACACACAGTACACGCACACTACACACACAAACTCACTCTCACACTCAGACGCACACACACAGACTCACTCTAACACTCAGACTCACACACACAGACTCACTCTAACACTCAGACTCACACATACACTCGCTCTCACACTTTCAGACTCGCACCACACTCGCGGCGTTGCTCCGTGTTCGGTGGGGGGGGGATGTCACGAGTGGGCGTGTTTACCTTCCCCCCACCCTCCCCGATATCTTCAAACAATCGCGGAGATTCTTATTCCCGTCGAAAAGCTACGAGGTTAGTCACGCAACTTCACAGCTCAGTTAAAACATTTAAATATTTATGTTTACTATTTTGTATCACTCTTATATAGGGATTAAGTTATGTTTGATGATAGTAAATATACACTATGCACCACGATTTTTCCCTGGGTAAAAAGTGTTATTTTTATATTGCTTAAGCCTCCTAAGTATATAAGATGGCTATTATTCCCCATACATGTTGCTTTTGTGACCAGAACTTTATATAAAGGAAAGAATTACACAAATGCACACGTTTTCTCCTAGCAAAATAGGTCCATTTGTAAATATCACTGTCCGTGTCAAAAAAAATTAAGTTTGAGGGGAATTTTATCCCATTTGTAACTTTTGAGATGTCAGCGTATAGAAAATAACACTTACTACCCAGAGACTAACACATGTGTAGTTTTTGGTAAAAAAAAAAATATTTTTACGATTAAAAATTTGGTCACTGTCTGTATCTCAAAAACTAAGTTTGAGGGGAATTTTCTCCAATTTGTAACTTTTGAGATGTCAGCGTATAGAAAATAACACTTACTACCCAGGGACTAACACATGTGTAGTTTTTGGTAAAAAAATATATATTTTTCGATTAAAATTTTGATCACTGTGTCTCAAAAACTACGTTTGAGGGGAATTTTCTCCCATTTGTAACTTTTGAGATGTCAGCGTATAGAAAATAAGACTTACTACCCAGGGACTAACACATGTGTAGTTTTTGGTATAAAAAAATATAATTTTACGATTAAAATTTTGATCACTGTGTGTCTCAAAAACTACGTTTGAGGGGAATTTTCTCCCATTTGTAACTTTTGAGATGTCAGCGTATAGAAAATAACACTTACTACCCAGGGACTAACAAATGTGTACTTTTTGGTAACAAATGTTTTAAATATTTACAATTTTTGACAACTTTTTTATTTAAATAAATAAATCTCTTTAAGCTTTCGCTCCAGCTTCTTCACATTTGCACTCTCAGTACGGGCGATATTCAATGAGATTATGTTTACTCTCACACTCTCACACTCACCACTCACTCTCTCTGACTCACACACACACACACTCTCAGACTCACACACACACATACACTCACTCTCACACACACACATACACTCACTCTCACACTCTCAGACTCACAGACATGCAGAACCACTGCAGTTGGAATGGTTCCGTGCGAATTGGTCCATTGCGGTACACAGTTGCATGTCACATTGCCGAGCCATTATTTAGTCGGCAATGAAGTTATTGACCGAAAGGCCCAATCCTCGCCCCCTTCTCGCCTGGGCAGCTCGTTCCAGGGAGTCCAAACAAGGAAAAAAACAATTATCAGCCTCAAGAAGACTAAAGCAAATATAAGGCCAAAACTAAGTGTTTTATTGTACTCGGTGAACACACCTTTTATTACATTCCTAGCTATCAACATCATCATCATCTACTGCTGGATGAAATCCTCTCCAAGTTGTGTGGTTTTTTTTATCCTGGTGTATGTCATGCGAGTAGATGAAACAGTTGCATTTACATAATTTATTATTTCAAATTGGTATAGTAGTATTCTTAGGTTTTTTTCGGTAAAGTTACGTAGGTAAAACATTTTAATTAATAAAAGTTATCGTGCTGTGACGGTTCCACCTGAAGACGCAAGCTTGTATTGCCTTCGAAACGTCGTGATTTTATTTTATTAATTAAAATTTTTACCTACGTGACTTTACCGAAAAAACCTAAGAATATGAATCCTTGCAGTTGTAGTGACATAGAACGGTCACTACTGTGTCGGCCCGTACGAGGGCTGGGGGCCCTAAGGGGGTGCCTGGGGGGTCACGTGGTGGAGGGATCCGGACCTTCCCAGAGGTGGGGAAGGGAGACGTGGCCTGGGAAGGGAGGCGTGGCCTGGGCAGAGCCAGCCACGCCTGGGCGGAGCCGGCCACGCCAAAGCAGATATAAGCGTGGTGTGAACGCGGAGCGAGGCTGTTGTACTGTACTCCGAAGTGAAGACATCATGGGTCGTCGTCCTGGGCCAGGCAGGCCGTTGCCTGCCTGGTCCAGTCTGTGTCGCGTTCCAGAGTGTTAGTGAGTTGAGGAAGGTGGTCACCACCTCATGTACAGCGTTATGTTACTTACCGTTTAATAAATAGTGTTGCCTCCAAGCTGCGTGTGTGTGCACCTAATTCGAACCCACTACACAGTCACGAACGCTTCAAATCTAGAATGGTATAATAGTCTTGCTGATGAAAATACGTCTGGGAGCTGAATATCAATGTCGAGGTCTGCTAGCCACGAGGGGACTGCGGGAAAGTGCACATACACCTTGTGAAGTGTTTTGGAGGTACGGAGAGACGAGAGTTGTTGTATCTTGAACCCGCCTTCTCTGAGGCTGACTCAATACGAATGCGAGTGTCTGGAATCACCGCCCCCGCCCCCCCCCCCCCGCCCGTGTGTTTTTACAGTGATTGCAAAAGTAACACAGGGATCCATTCTGCTTTTCAACTCTCAAATCTATTCAACTTGGACAGCCTCCTAAACATCACTCGGGTAAGTGCATGTTCACGGAAATGCGCCAACACTGTGATTTGGAATCCTCGTACGAATCAGTTGATATTATTTATGTGCGGTTGAATTGTTTACGTGAGAATACGCCGTGTTATCTTTTTTCCTCGTGATCGGAAACACGATTGCACACTCACCGTTGTATTACTATTATACAGCAGGCTTCTTTTGAAATGTTGTGCGGGTCAAAATAAACCGCCTAATTCCGGTGTTCTGTCTCCTTTCCACACCGCCACCTGAAAACCACCAGTATACGGATGACATCGCAAGCAAATTTGACCCCATCAATGTGAACCTGTTGGACATGAAGCTGCTGGAACCCAGTGTCAAGCAGAGCCTGCTGGACTTCGCAACGACTGGAATCGGCAGAATCGACTTCAGCGCATTCAGCGCAGAGGTTCTGTGTCCGTGTCGTCATCTGTGTCCGTTTTGTCATCTGTGTCTGCGTCGTCATCTGTGTGCGTGTGGGGTTCACTCACGGCGTCACACATCCGATGGTCAACTTCTCATTCATGGTCATGCATAACACCACTTTTACACTCGCACTAATGGCCTCTGAAGATCGAGAGAACAAAACTTCTGAATACCCCCCCTATAGGTTGACTCAGCCTTAAATAAGTTAAGCTGGTGCAGCATGTCAACATCATTGCCGGAGAGGCAAAGGTGGCTGGTTACGTGAGGTCCTGGCCACATCACCGCTTCTTGCGCCTTATAGGTCTGAATAGGTGCTTACTTAGAGTACTTGTTTCTATTCATAGGACTAAATGGGGAGATCCATGTGTATGTGCATGTATTCAATATTGCGTGCCTGTGTAATGGTTCTGGAGACACTTGTAGAGGTAACTTCTTTATTACAATTCAACACTCCAACAGTCCTGATACTCTGTTACAGCCTAGGTACACAACCTAGGTACACAGCCTAGGTACACAGCCTAGATACACAGCCTAGCGACACAGCCTAGGTACACAACCTAGGTACACTACTCTGGCTACGCTCTGGGGTCCTCCGGCTACAATTACCCTAGGGGAGGCTATCTGACCCGACCCAGCCAAGGTGCGGGTCTGGACTCTGGCTTCCTCGGAACTCGCACTTACACGGACGTAGAGCCGGGAGTCCCAGAGTCCCACCACTGGCCCTCACAGCGTCCCGGCCCTTACAAGGACAAGCGGGATGAGGGTGTCCAGGTTCCTAAGCTGGCTGGCTGGCGGGTCTTGGGTCTTGAGCTACAACTGGCCCTGATCGGCCAGGGAGCTCCCCTTTTATGCCTCGTCCCCAACGAGGGGTGGGGTTGTGTGCGCCCCCAGGTATCCCACAGAGCACACACAGCCCCCCCCCCCCCCCCCCCCCCGTTGGTGGCGCCAAGGGGCTTAACTGTCTGGGGTGCCTGGGATCCTAGCGCCTGGCGCCAGAGCCCCCAGTAGCCCCTCCCCTCTTATGGCACTACACCTGCTGAGAGGGTTGGCGACTATCTCTTGAGAAACTTGTTCATCCTGGTCTGCGGTCTTCGTAGCAGTCCAGCTTTTATTGTCTGCGAGCGGTCTCCAATGTTAATTGTGCAAAGTGCAATTGCGAGAATGCGTTTGCTCTTTCGTTCTTAGCGCATGGCAACCCACTGCTGCCAGCTGATTGGTTGCCGTAGGGAAACAAAAGCCCCCTGAACTATTGAACCTCGGTGTGTAGGCTGATTAATTTATTACACTAAAGTAGCCAAAGCAAATAGGTGGATCAAAAAATCTGAGCGCGGTGGGATTTATCAAAGTGAGTTGCAGTAATGAAAACAGAGCTTTGTAAATGTCCAAAGCCAATGGGCCCATAAGGCCGATCAACATTAATTCCCCCCCCCCTCCTATGTGGTGTCTACGTTAAAGCTGGCAGCTCATCATAAGCAATGAATGGGCAATTAAGCACCGCACCATCGGCTTGTGAAACACAAAGCTGCCATACGCACCGCAAGTAGGGGTCAACGACGTAGCCTGATGTCATGTTGCTGATTGACGGCCTGCGATACAAGTGGCGTAGCGCAATTCACGACTCTGAGGCAGGTTGCTGTTAGGGGCTCACGCCAAGTTTGTTAAGGGCTCACGCCAAGTTTGTTAAGGGCTCACGCCAGGTGGTTAAGGGCTCACGCCAGGTGGTTAAGGGCTCACGCCAAGTTTGTTAAGGGCTCACGCCAGGTGGTTAAGGGCTCACGCCAGGTGGTTAAGGGCTCACGCCAGGTGGTTAAGGGCTCACGCCAGGTGATTAAGGGCTCACGCCAGGTGGTTAAGGGCTCACGCCAGGTGGTTAAGGGCTCACGCCAGGTGGTTAAGGGCTCACGCCAGGTGGTTAAGGGCTCACGCCAGGTGGTTAAGGGCTCACGCCAGGTGGTTAAGGGCTCACGCCAGGTGGTTAAGGGCTCACGCCAGGTGGTTAAGGGCTCACGCCAGGTGATTAAGGGCTCACGCCAGGTGGTTAAGGGCTCTCGCCAGGTGGTTAAGGGCTTACGCCAGGTGGTTAAGGGCTTACGCCAGGTGGTTAAGGGTTTACGCCAGGTGGTTAAGGGCGAGGCTCCTGCTGGAGAGGCACAGAGAGAAGAACAAAGCTGTGCACGTGTCGTTCCTCGACCTTGAAAAGGCATTTGACAGGGTCCCCCACGACCTCATCTGGCACTCGCTTCGATCCCATGGAGTCCCTGAAACCTACGTGCATTGGGTGCAACTCCTATACAAGAACGTCACCAGTGCAGTCAGGTGTGCAGTGGGCATATTACCGCCATTTCCCATCAGCGTTGGAGTGCACCAAGGATCGGCCCTGTCACCACTCCTGTTTATCCTGTGCATGGACACAATCACTGCCGACCTGCACACGCCCCTGCCATGGTCAATTCTCTACGCGGATGACGTCCTCCTCACAGATGAAGAGAGAGGAGAAGTGGAAAGACAAACGCGCCTGTGGAAGGAACGTTTGGACGAAAACGGGATGAGGTTCAACATCAAAAAGACAGAGTATATGGAGTGTGGCCCCCAAACCGACGGCACCATCAGCATTGACGGAGAAGATCTGAAGAAAGTGACGGACTTTAAGTACCTGGGCTCCACCATCAGCTCAGATGGTAGCATCACGACTGATGTGAGGTCACGAGTCAATGCGGCATGGATGAAGTGGAGGAAAGTCACCGGAGTCCTCTGTGATAGGAAAATGCCGGATAGGCTGAAGGGAAAAATTTACAAGACCATCGTCCGACCGGTGGCACTCTATGGATCCGAGTGCTGGCCAGCCACAACTGTACACGAACAAGCTCTCCACACCATGGAGATGAGGATGCTCAGATGGAGCCTCGGACTCACTCGATGGGATCGTGTCATGAACGAAGACGTTCGGAAGCGACTTGGTGTGGCCCCCATTGCGGACAAGATGCTTGAGGCAAGGCTTCGGTGGTACGGCCATGTGATGCGAAGTGAAGAGTCATCAGTGGCCAAGACTGCCATGCGTATTGAGCCAGAGGGCCGCCGTCCACGCGGACGTCCAAAGAAGCGATGGATGGATCGAATAAAGGAAGACATAAAGACGGTCAACGTATCCCCTGAAGATGCCCTGGACCGAGCCAAATGGAGAAGACAATGCCGAAAAGCGGACCCTGCGCCACAGCGGGAACAACGCTAGGAAGAAGAGGTTAAGGGCTCACGCCAGGTGGTTAAGGGCTCACGCCAGGTGGTTAAGGGCTCACGCCAGGTGGTTAAGGGCTTACGCCAGGTGGTTAAGGGCTCACGCCAGGTTTGTTAAGGGCTCACGCCAGGTGGTTAAGGGCTCACGCCAGGTGGTTAAGGGCTCACGCCAGGTGGTTAAGGGCTCACGCCAGGTGGTTAAGGGCTCACGCCAGGTGGTTAAGGGCTCACGCCAGGTGGTTAAGGGCTCTCGCCAGGTGGTTAAGGGTTTACGCCAGGTGGTTAAGGGCTCACGCCAGGTGGTTAAGGGCTTACGCCAGGTGGTTAAGGGCTCACGCCAGGTGGTTAAAGGCTCACGCCGAACCAAACCAGCCTAGCCTACAACTCCCCATGGGACAGGGTACCGTGATCCCTACAACGCCGGCTAACTCGGCTCTCCACCCTGCCCCGGCCCGGGACTACCCCAACCTCGGCGGAGTAGCCTCCCCTAGTCTCGTGTGAGGATCACCTACCCGAGTCCCCACTCCTACCCCCGACGAACCCCGGTTCCATCCCGGGTCCCCCTTTAAATACCCCCCTGGGGCATGACGTCACCGTCACCCACGGCCCCCCGCCTGACGTCACGTCCCGCGACGCCGCTCTCTACGAGGGCGCGCGTGACGTGGTGTCACCCACTACACCTGTACACGTGTGTAGGGGTGTCAGGGGAAGGATTCCCACCAATAGGAGGGTTAGTGGAACAGTGACAGGAGAAGGGGGAGGGCTAATCGAGGAGACGTGAGGGAGAGCACGGGCGGGAAGAGGGGAGCGAGATTGAGACGGCTGGGGACAGCTGTGGATGGGAGAAGGGGAGTACAGGACGAAGCCCCTGCCACCTTGTGTCGGCTTCTCCTTCACACACGAGAAGCATTCATTGGTGCAAGGTGGCATGCTGTTAGATAGTTTTAAAAAAACTTCATATTTTACTGGGTAAAGCTGTGTAATGATGTTGGTGTTTGTGTACACGTATAATACAGTTTCTTTTTTTTTTTTACGTAGCCTTCCATTCTTGGAAAAATATAATTACACGTGCCCATCCGTTTTTGTTTTTGCTTTGAAAGGATTCGGGAGGTGGTGGGGGGGGTGGTGGTTTGTGGAATTATAGCCGCTCTCCGCAATGAAACATAAATATCCCACGGCAAGAGGTCCCGGGCAGTGCTTCTCATGGCCGTGAACACTGCGGGAGGAGGATCGTGGTTGCTAAGACGATATGATGCCGGTAGTAATAATAAACTATCAGCGTGATGCCCTCGCTCGTAGTCCCGGCTCATCTGGCTGTGAACAACAGTGACCCAAACGCAGGGGCAGTTCCTGGAACCCACGCTGCAGTTTAACTGCACGATGCATTCGTTGAGAAGGACAAAACACAACTTGGGAATTGCATCGTGGAAGTTTTTTTTTGTTTCGTAAATTACAATCAGAAATATAAATGGGCGATGTCCTCACTTTGTTGATTAATTGAAATATCTCACTGAGGTGGTAAGGAGGTATTAACAATCAATGTCTTTTGTAGTGTGTGGAAAATACCACAGCCCTGGTTTGTGGGAGCCATGGTCCATGACTGAACATTTGCACTGCCAAGTTGTCTAAAGCAAGCGTTTCCAAACCCCTTGAACCACTGCGTCACTTAGACATCGTGATATGTGCCTTCAATGATTGCATAATGTCCAGTTGGAAATATTGTGCTGAAATAGTTGGGTGGGTTTTTATCTGCTGTGCATGTCGTGCCGCCTGGTCTAGAACATTGCACGTTAAAGTTTGTGTTTTTAATTTCCTTACAGCTCAACAAAGGCATTTCTGAGGTTGATCTGCTTCTGTTTGCCGATGAACTCAGCGAAAAAGCTAAACACCTGGTGAGTGTTGTCAAGCTTGTACGCTTTCATTTTCTCAAGTGTATTTCTATTTCAATGCTTTGAAAAATCTGCATGTGGTTTCACTCAGGTTTTTCCCAGCTGAAGTGTGGAATGAGCCAAACTAAAGTGTGCAGACGCATATGGGATTTTAATCATAGCTAACGTGTTATGTTTTTTTAAATCTAATTCACAGTGCTGCAGTGTAAAACCTATTTGAATGCTTTTATGTACATAAATGTGGCCTTTCTGGTAAGACCCTGAATGTATCTATTTAAAGTTAGCGTAAATGGCACGAATGTTTAAAGTTGCGATTTCTTAATCTCATTCATGTGTTGACCTCTCGGGGGGGGGGGGGGGGGGGGGAAGAGTTCTGGGAAAAAGCAAGAGTTTGATTTAAGAGAGTTGGGTTTATACTGGTAGGAACCTCCTGGTTACACCAGCCCACAGGGGATTATTGTGTCGGTCGTGCAGGGAGGGGCTGGGTGGGGAGGGAGGGGCTTGGTGGGGGGTGGGAGGGGCTGGGGCTGGGTGGGGAGGGGCTGGGTGGGGAGGGGAGGGTGTGGCTGGGTGGGGAGGGGCTGGGTGGGGAGGGTGGGGAGGGGCTGTGTGTGGCTGGGTGGGGAGGGGCTGGGTGGGGAGGGGAGGGTGGGGAGGGTGGGGAGGGGCTGTGTGTGGCTGGGTGGGGAGGGGCTGGTCACCCCGTGGTGCCCTTATAAAACTCAACGTTTAACCTACTCACGCCGGCTTGTGCCCGCCCTCACAGTCTTGGCATATTTGCGGAATACACCACGCCGCCGTTGACCCTGCAGGCCATTGACCGAGCAACCCAACGTTCCTACCAGCTCCCTCCGCAGGAGAAATGTGTTTATTAACGAACGTGGGGCACTCGTTTGGTCAACTCTGTTTGGTTGTGCGCGATGATTTACATTTGATTCACGATCGACGTTTGCGTGCGACTGTGACCGCAGAGCGAGGCGCTGGCGAACGCGCTGCGGGGACACGCGGCGAGCATCCGCTGGATTCACTACAACCAAGTGGTGCTTCTCAACAGCAGCGTGGTGAGCACTGTGCCCTGCTGGTTACCTGCCTTGCGCCCCCTTTGCTCCACCAATGTTCGGCATTGTACACTTCATCGCAGCGGCTTGGGTTGCGCAATAAGTATGTATGTATGTTGAACGTATTTCTCACCGTACATAGCCAATCGTGCTATTCGGGTGTGTACACCTTACCAATGGTTTGTGCTTTACTCATGGCTGGTTTACACACCATAACATGGCCTGGGTTTCGATTTAAAGCTTTTTTCACGTAGAATGGAAATAATAAAATAATAAAAATAAAACATAATAACATAATTCTCACGACGTTTCGGACACAACGCAAGCAGCCGTCCTCAGGTGAAGAGTCTGAATGATACGTCCTGAAGCCCAGGACGTGTCATTCAGACTCTGTCTCCTCGACAGACCTGTTCTTCACCTGAGGACGGCTGCTGAAAGAACCAAGAAGATGGCCTGGGTTGTATGCCTTGCCAATCAATGGGTTGTGCACCTCACCATTTCCCGCATCGTATACCACCACGTGTTACACTAGCAGCGTTACGTACCGTGTAGTGGTGGCTGGGTTCTATGTACAGCAGAGAATGTGAATGGGGTGATTCCAGCGCTAAACCGCCTTTGCAGGAGGTTCGCGGTCCGAATCCGACAGCCCCTGGTTCGTTCTGCGGGTGTACACATCGTGAGGCACGTGCTGCCTGCTGCACAGTGGACGTTTAAAGATCCCGTGAGATCATTGGAACCTCATTTGCCAGTAAAAAATATGATAATTGGTTTGTGCACATTATCAGAGTTATGTGGTTTTTTTTTTGCATTATGGCTGCAGGTATTGTGGTCTATGTAAACATGACTCCTTGTAAAAAAGGTGTCAGTTTTGTTGCCAGATAGAAGGGTAAAAAAATAATTATCATCCCGTGACATCTTTTGAAGAGTGGGCCATACGTTGTGCGCTGGCGTCATCGTCAACATTTGCCAAATTTTCAAAAAGGATCACAAATTTCTCAATTGGGATTACACGCGGCAATCACCACCCCCACTGGCAGACGGATTCCTACTTAGTAGGCTGCTTCTGAGTCACTTTTTGTTTGCCATAGAGGGACAGCTGCTATGGAGGGGTTCCCCTTCTAATGTTTGAGAGGAGATGGAAGGCATTTTGTTATTAAATAATTATTAAATTGGCACACCTATTGGGAGCAAAGCAAGGTTTGCTCATATCTGAAGTGTGCTTGTATCAGAAGTTGCTCTTGAACTCCCTCCACCAGTGTAATGTTTGATGTTGCTTATACCAGAACTGTGCTTATATAAAGTGTGCTTGTATCCAGTTTCTCCTGTATCAATATTTGTATTGCAAAAAATACGGTCTAACAACAACAACAACAACCTTGTCGATCATGAAATATGGATTGTAATAATGTGCTCCGAGCTGAACCCACCACGTAACCAGAGCGTGGATCCACAGTCAGGCACCGATGAGCTGGTCGTGACGGCCCATAATGGGGTCCACCTCACTCAGGCCAGCCGTGTGTGACTGATGGAGAGGCAGAGGTCGCAAACGGGTTTTGATTCCTTACCCATACCCGTACCCGGCCGTACCAGGGTCGCAAACGGGTACCCGTACCCGTACCCGGCCGGGTACGGGTAGCCGGGTATCGGGTAGGGTACGGGTATCGGGTACCCGGTTGCAACCTCTGTGGAGAGATGGCGGTGGGGGTTCCCCAGTCTTCAACATCACATCCGCTGCTACAAATGTAACACATTGCAGCGTCAGCACTACGCGTGGGACACGGAGTGTTCCTTGTCCGATACAGCAGCCGCCATTTGCCACCACCAAGTGGCGGTGACGTCACCACAGCGCTTGTGCCAGGCTGGGTGCACTGCCACGGTGGAAACACCCGTGCGTCATCGAAACCGCAGAAAACTTTTGCAGTAACGTTCATGCTCGTGCTGTTGATGTACCCTTTAACATGGTGCTGTACGAATACAATATTTATTTAATTTATACTAGTTGGAACCTCCTGGTTACACCAGCCCACAGGGGATTATTGTGTCCGTCCGTCCGTCGTCGTGCAGGGAGGGGCTGGGTGGAGAGGGAGGGGCTGGGGAGGGAGGGGCTGGGTGGGGAGGGGCTGGGTGGGGAGGGGCTGGGGGGGGTGGGAGGGGTGGGGCTGGGTGGGGAGGGGCTGGTCACCCCGTGGTGCCCTTATAAAACTCAACGTTTCACCTACTCACGCCGGCTTGAGCCCGCCCTCACAGTCGGGCATATTTGCGGAATACACCACGCCGCCGTTGACCCTGGCCATTGACCGAGCAACCAAACGTTCCTACCAGCTCCCTCCGCGGGAATGTGTTTGTTGTTGACCAATTCAGAAATAAGTGCTTACCATTTGTGTTGTTTTCAGAGTACTTTGAACAAGAGTTTGAACTCTTTCCAGAGGACATCCCTTGCTCTGCAGGTTGGGACTGGTGATCACATTCACACTGCATAGCTGCTCCAGTGAAATGAGACTAATTCACCACGTAGAATATTTCACTTGAGTTTGATCACAGACACAAATTGATCCAGCTCATGAAATAATATCTGTTGATGGTTATTGTTGATTGGAATTTGCGTGTGCGGGACCCGCGTGGACACACGCGTACTTGTGACATGCTTATCCACATGTGCACTTAACGCCCTTGCAAAATAGTCAAAATAATTGTGTTCAATGTTTTGTGTGTGTGAATCCTAGAGTGCGATTACAGAAGCCATTGACAAATTGGACATTGCCCAGAGTCTCATCAATAACAATGCCTCAGAGGTTATCATTGGGGTAAGTTGTTACGTTAAAGTGCCATGTGTATCACGTGATTTTTAACGCGGATTGTTAAAATAAAAGTTTCCTTCGAGAAAATGCGTTTGGGGAATATTCGTCAATTCAGTCGGTCAACTTTGCGCGAGGTCCATTGAGTAAGGAAAATCGTTTTCGATTGCTTTAGTTTTGTAGGAATGATTCGTGGTGTACAGCCAAGTAATTTGAGTTGCAAGCCTCGTGGATGCATTGCTAACAAATGAGACCTTTACGAACAAAATGTTTAGGTAAAGCACCTTGCGGAAAATTTACATGGACCTTTTTCAGCAATCGTAACACTTTGCAATATTGGCCTTTTTCTAAAGGAAATGAAGACCTATATGGAGACTATAATAGGATACTTCGAGAGTTACGTTACTTGGACAAAGTTTTCCGTGAGTACATGAAAGCTGAATCGTCAATACAATGCACACCTCTTAGTAGCCCACTGACTTGACTTATTATGTGCATTCTTAATCACGAACATATATCTCCCGTGAAACTGGGGACATTTAAAGTAAGTTTAGAAGCTGGAGTCGGGTGTAATCGAAGTTGATTTAATTGCAACTTAATTGAATTGAAAGGTGTGGCACAGATACCCACGTTTGCATACCAGCGCTGTGTATAGGTTCTTTTGTAGACGTGTGTAATGTGAGGGTATATCCGGGTGGTTGATTGATCACACCTCGTTATGATGATTGGCTCTACCGGCCCAGGCCCATAGCCAATGGGGAGAGGTCTAGGGGCGTGGCCCTGAAGTAATGGGAAGGTGACACCTGGGAGGAGATGATTGGCCCTGCTGGCTTTGGCCACAGCCAATGGGGGGACGGGTCAGGGGCGTGGTCCTGGGACCGTAGGATGGAATCTGGAAGATTCCAGGGAGGTTACCCAGGACTGGTTGAAAGGCACCACGTGACCCAGGGATTTAAAGGGGTGGAGACGGGCAACACGTGGTCAGATTTGGAACGAAGGGTGACGCCACGCTGGAGCGGGGTCCAGGCCTGCCACGTGGCAGCAAGAGTCTCTCTCTCTCCCTCCCTCTCACGCTGTCTGTCAACAGCGTGAAGGAGTAAGACAGTAGTGGAATTTATATGAAGAGATCTGTGAACGAAAGAGAAATAAAGACCCTGATTCCAGAAGTCGCTTCCACCACCTTTATTACACGTGCATGTGCAGCCCATTTGTATTGGATGTCCTGCAGTTGACGCCTTCAACGTTTTCCACGGCCTTGTGGCGGACCAGGTAGAGGCTTTCTAGCGAGTGTCGCTCGCTTGATAATTGGTGTTTTACCCTTCTATCTGGCAACAAAACTGACACCTTTTTTACAAGGAGTCATGTTTGCATAGACCACAATACCTGCAGCCATAATGCAAACAAAAAACACAACTCTGATAATGTATGTGCACTGTCCTTAAAGTTGATTGGTCCACACCCGAGACAGCTTTCTTTAGAGCCCAGTCTCACATGGTGTTGGACCAGATGACGCCAAAAGGCACACAACTCAAAGACAACGCACCATCAGAGTATGAGAGCTCGGGTCAAGCATTTACACCATTGGAACCTCATTTTACTGGCAAATGAGGTTCCAGTGGTGTCGCTCGCTTGTTAGGAGCCGCCACTCGAACTGTCCCCAGACCTGTGCCCGGGTGCTGTGCTGTTGAGCCCGAATACAAGACGCAGGTCGATGTTGCACAAATTGCGCGTCTGGTTTTTCTGGTCTCTTCCACCGATACAACTGGTGCCGTTCATTACTCAGACCCTTAAACACGTTCCAGAAAAGTGTCTTATAAATCATCGCTTTGGCAACACCTGTACCAAATGTGGGATTTTTGCACACAGTGTTGGTGTACGGTGTTTTTTTCTGCAATATTTTGCTGTCTTTTCTTGGATTTTCTGTTTGCACTCGGTCACATAGTCACTTTAAGATGTTTTCTTGTTCATGTTTTTGTTTTTTGTTCGTTGCGGTTGCACCCGATTCAAGAGCCGAATAGCTCACAGGGCTCTACCTAATACATGAACTTGACATGTGAGTTGGTTGAATGTGGCGAGCTCTAAGACCTCTCAGACGGAAATCGATTTGTGTGTCCGCTAAGTTCCTCCACTCTTTTGTGCAGATTTCCAACAAGGTGGGCGCCTGCAAGCCGCTCTCCAACCTGGTTGACTCTGTAGACATCATTGTGTGCAGCTACGTGATGGACTCGCTGGTGAGAGGAGACGCTTCTGAGTTGTGTACCAGAGAGTAGCATTTGGCACAAGGGTTCTTCCTGCATTGGGACATTTTCTGAATGATAAATAATGATACTTTTTGGAGGAAGCTAGATTATTTCCTGCGGTTAGCACACTGCGCTACCAACCCGGTGACCCAAGTTCGATTCCCGCTTACAGACAACATCGGTGACGACTATCTGAACTGGTCCCGGACCTCCCGTTGGTCAACTCAGCCTTAAATGCATGCCATCAGCACTGGGAAGACAAAGGTGGCCTAGGCATGGTGTTGGCCACCCACCCCCTCTCGTGTATGTCATGCTAGCCTTAATAGGGGCTCGCAAATAGCACTTGCCCCGACAGTGCGGTCAACGCTACTGTGTTTGCCTCGTCTCTTTTCTTTCAGAACGTGTTTTGGTTTGGCCTCGGTTGGGCGACGGTGTTTCTAGTCCCGAGCATCATTTTTGCCGTGAGGCTGGCAAAAAACTACCGGCGAATGGACACCGAGGACATGCATGATGAGTGATTGCAGTGTGAAATCTGCTCTGCCGTGTACGTCCGAATACATCGGCTTAAATGGTATCATCAGGGGGTCCATGTAGATCAGTGGTTCTTAACCTTTTTGGAGGTACCGAACCCCACCAGTTTCATATGCGCATTCACCGAACCCTTCTTAATTGGAAAAATAAAATATGATTTTTTCAAATTCAAAACATAGGTATATGTTTTACTCGTGCACAATCATGAGTCAGGTGTGTGTCTTAATCTCCGCCGAACCCCTGAGACTGACTCACCGAACCCCTGGGGTTCGGTCGAACCCAGGTTAAGAACCAATGATGTAGATTTAAACAATGTAGCGTACATTTTCTTGGTTCTTTCGGTAAAGTCACGTCGAAGGGAAATAATAAAATAAATATAAAACTAGTAAATTCTCACGTTTCGAATGCAACACAAGCAATCGTCATCAGGTGTGAAATCCACGGCAAGAAAATTTGAAAAAAGTGTCGGTTGTTTTTCCTAACTTTTTTCAAATGTTCTTGCTGTGGACTTCACACCTGATGACGCTCGCTGCTTGTGTTGCAGTGGAAACGTCGTGAGAATTTTTATTGTTTTATATTAATATTATTTTATTATTTCCCTTCTACGTGACTTCACCGAAAGAACCAAGAATATGAATCCCTGCAGTCACGAAAGCTTTAAATCGAGAATTATTTTATTATGTTTTATTTTTATTATTTTATTATTTCCCTTCTACGTGACTTTACCGAAAGAACCAAGAAGATGAATCCCTGCAGTCACGAAAGCTTTAAATCGAGAATTATTTTATTATGTTTTATTTTTATTATCTTGTTATTTCCCTTCTACGTGACTTTACCGAAAGAACCAAAAATATGAATCCCTGCAGTCATGAAAGCTTTCAATCGAAATGTAGCGTACCTTACATTTTCGGTGACTGGGCGAGGTGTTTCAAGGGGCATTGACACAGGCGGCTTGGCCTACGCACGGCACGGCTGAAAGTAGCGCGCGTCAGCTGGAGATGTGGACGTCACCTTCACCCACTGGAGATGTCAACGCAGCAACACGGATTGACCCCTGCGGTTGGCCTGGAACCCTGCTTGTTCACTGTGATCTCATGCCTGCCCTGTCTCGCTTTTTTCCGCCTTTTGCAGTGCTTCAGTCACGAGGATCTGGAATTTAGCCTTCTGATCGCCATTCCTACTTTTGAAGTCGTGTTAGTTTGTTTGATGGTTCCACTTTGGAATGTTTTGCCCGTTCTTTTTTGTTGTGAAATTCTGCACGCCTTTCTCATCGCAACTGCACACTTTTGTTTGTTAGCAAATGTACAATTCATCTTTTTGGTTCTTTCGGCAAAGTCACGTAGAAGGGAAGTAATAAAATAATAACAATAAAACGTAATAAAATAATTCTCAAGACGTTTTTTATTACTTCCCTTCTACGTGACTTTACCGAAAGAACCAAGAAGATGAATCCCTGCAGTCACGAAAGCTTGAAATCGAAATGTACAATTGTTGTGAGCCTCTTTTCTCAGTTTACCATCCGCGCTAATAACGCCACCCTGCTGCTCTGCCATGCAGTATGCGATGTGATGACAATAACACACGTGCAGCGCTACAGAAGTTCACACTGTTTACCGTTTGGCTGTGGGAGTTTTACCACGTTACGAATTTCAATGCTGTGGGGTTTTTTCCTCTGCATATCAGGCCATTGTCTAGTAAGAATGAATCTACGAGTATTTAATGACTACGAGATGCTCATTGAGAAGGGTGCAACGAGCTCTAATGTCGGTGACGTCATATTTGAGGGGGGGGGGTCTGACTTTTTGTGACGCCGTGTGACGATGGAGGGGGGGGGGTTCTTTACGGTGCGTGGAGAAACATCGCCGTGGTTATTTTAATTAACGGAACGAGAATGTTCAACGGTTTCAAAGCCACGGAATAAAATTGCGCGTCAGCTGTTTGTCGGTGGGTGCCTGCGTCGTGTTCTCTGTGGGCAATGAAGCGTTCGGTCTACGCACGACGTCTTAAAAACATCTTCTTGGTTCTTTCGGTAAAGTCACGTAGAAGGGAAATAATAAAATAATAATAAAACATAATAAAATAATAAACATGAAACATAATAAAATAATAAAAATAAACATAACATTTCGATTTAAAGCTTTCGTGACTGCAGGGATTCATCTTGGTTCTTTCGGTAAAGTCACGTAGAATGGAGATAATAAAATAATAAAAATTAAACATAATAAAATAATTCTCACGACGTTTCGGCCACAACACAAGCAGCCGTCCTCAGGTGATGAACAGCGTCTTAGAGTAGCGGCATCTCTTCAGCAAACTCCGGGATAAGGAGGCTCAGCTAATCGAGTCTCTCACCTTTCTGAAGAGATGCCGCCACTCTAAGACCTGTTCTTCACCTGAGGACGGCTGCTTGCGTTGTGGCTGAAACGTCGCGATAATTATATATTATTATTATTTTATTATTTCCCTTCTACGTGACTTCACCGAAAGAACCAAAAAGATGAATCCCTGCAGTCACGAAAGCGTTAAATCGAAATTTAGTCTTAAAAACACTGAACATTCCCCTCGAAAACAAAACGCTTTCACGACACCATATCAAGCTTCCATAAGAAGAATACAAACTCCCTAAATTTTGTTTTTAATAATGCAATGACCACACTGGGAAGACTGAAACAATAAAAACTGTCTTTCTTTAGACACAAACATTGTTTCCCAGCTACGCTCCATTTAGAGTTGGTAATGGTTACCATAATGTCTTAATTTGATGACTGCGATATTGTTTATCATTGTGCCTCTGTAGAGGTGTAATTGTGCATGGCCACGGATGTAGAGGTGTAATTGTGCATGGCCACGGATGGCTAACAAACACAAGGGGCGGGGTTAGGGCCGTACACAGGGGAGGTGCTCACACCGACGTCCGCACCTGCATCCCCCACGGGCCCCTCCCGGGGGCCGAGTCCTATAAAAGGTGGTGAGCCGGAGGGCTCGAGGTGGAGATCAGCTTTAACCAGCGAAGACTGAAGACCAGCTAGAATAGGCCCCGGAGCTCCCCTGGCTCGCTGTCCTTATCAGGGCCGACCAGGGCAAGCCGGTGGCGTGGCCCCGAGAGCCCAGACTGACGAGCCGGTCTGGAGACTCAGGGTGCCGGGATCCCAGCTTGACCAGGGCTGGGATAGGTAGCCTCCCCTAGCTCCGTAGTGGAGGACTTGGGCGTAGGTTAGCGGGGTTAGATGTTGTGTATCCCTGTAGCCGAGTGAAGGGGACGATACCCCCTTAAGTACTGTGTGTACCCGTTACTGTGCACAAGTTGGTGTAATAAATAAGTGTGCCTCCGACCCTGTCGTCAAGCCTCCTAAAGACTTACTACACCTCCAATACATCGTTCATTAAGCTCAACCCTATATATCATTCTGCTCTAAGATTTCCTCTGGACGCCTCTTACAAAACGCAACACTGCAACCTGTACAAAGAAGCAGGGCTAACGTCCCTTCAAGATCGCAATCATTAATCAGGCCTTGTTCATTCGCAATGTCCTTTGTGTAACGGTGTAAACACTGCAGGAGACGAGTTGACGGAGGCAACACGTATTTATTATAACACCCTACAGAAACAGTCATCTATACAGCCTAGGAACACAGCCTACGGCTACGCGTGCCTGACACCGGCTACGCTCTCAGCTCCTCCGGCTATGTAACTCCTAGAGGCTATCTGACCCGACCTAGCCAGGGTACGGGTCCCAACCACTGGCCCATCAAGCCGGCCCTGACAAGGACTTCGGGAACCGTGAGTACCCAGGGTCTCACCACTGAGCCACACAGAGTCCCGGCCCTGACAAGGATGTGGGGCAAGGGGTCCCAGGGTCCTATCTAGCTTGCTCCGTCTTCATTCTTCACTGGCTCCAACGACTCCCCGAACTCTCTCGCGCACCGCCCTATATACCCCCCCCCCCCCGAGGGGCGGGGCTGTATGCGGACGTCGACGTAGCCACCCCACGCACGGACCGTGATGTAGACACCGGCTACGCGATGGCTCGCTACACCCCGGTACGTACCACCTCTACATTTGTAACAATTCAGAAGAATATTTGTTGCATCTGCCGACACCAACGGACGGCAGACCTAACCTGAGGAGCTCATCATTCCTTCTGTTCAATGTTCCTACGCGCAAAACAAGTCTGGGTTTTTTCAGCGGCTTATTTTCTGGTACAATATTGCCATGCGACTTGATTTACAGTCACAGCACCACTGTCGCTCACCTGGGGGCTTGCAGGCGACGTTGTTGCTGCCGCTTCTGCCCCAACACGCAGTGCACACCACGCAGTGCACACTACGCAGTGCACACCACGAATGGCCCCAACGTAAGCAACGCCACGCAGATGAGACCTGATGAAGGGGCGCTTAGTCATGGCGACTGTCTGCTCTGCTGACGAGGAGCGGCCTGGGGGTAAGGGGGCGTCATGAGAGCAGAGGAAAATACAGCAGCAGCGAACATTATGATGAGGGTGAGCGGTGAGGGAGATTGGTGAGTGGTGAATTGTAAGGGTGAATGGTGAGGGTGACTGGTTAGTAGTGAGTGGTGAGGGTGAGTGGTGAGGATGAGTGGTGAGGGTGAGTTGTGAGTGGTGAGGGTGAGTGGTGAGTACAGTCAATATGCACTGCTGTAATCATAGTATGTACCACCACAGTCAGTATGCACTGCTGTAATCATAGAAGCTACCACCACAGTATGCACTGCTGTAATCATAGCAGGTACAACCACAGTCAGTGTGCACTGCTGTCATCATAGCAGGTACCACCACAGTCAGTATGCACTGCTGTCATCATAGCAGGTACCACTACAACATGCACTGCTGTCATCATAGCAGGTACCACCACTACAGTATGTACAGAGAGAGAGATGGGGAGAGAGAGATGGGGGGAGAGAGACAGTCATATCAGTCAGCCAACCCGTGGCACCTGCTGGGTCTGCCCCGTGACCTCCTGCCGGTGGGCGTTCGACGCTTCACGTGGCAGCCTCAACGTGCACCTAGCCTGGCACAGGTGCCGTGGTGACGTCACCGATACTTAGTGGCGAATGGCGATTGTTGTGGTTGTTAAGAGTGTGCGTGCGTGTGAGTGTGGGGGGGGTTGGTGTTTATCCAATTACCGAATCGATTTCGCTGGTACCACTCCCCGCCGTTGAGTGAGTGGGTGGGGGGGGTCCGCTGAGATTTGCGTAAAGGATGCTGCCGTCTGTCGCCTTACCCCCCCCCCTCCTGCCCCCCTCCCCCCGTCTATTGTTATTGTAATATGTTGTTGTGTCTCTGCGTCTAAGTTAAAACATTTAAGTAGAGGCTTAGGGCACACCGACTCACGCACAGAGACAAAGATCGCCCGTGTAGCCTCTAAGAGACTGTAGGGGCAAGTGCTGTTAGTAGCCAGTAGCAGCAGCACCTATGAAGGTAGACACAGACAAAGCTCCCCCGTGTAGCCTCTAAGAGAATGTAGGGGCAAGTGCTGTTAGTAGCCAGTAGCAGCAGCACCTATGAAGGTAGACACAGACACAGCTCCCCCGTGTAGCCTCTAACAGACTGTAGGGGCAAGTGCTGTTAGTAGCGAGTAGCAGCAGCACCTGTGAAGGTAGACACAGACAAAGATCCCCCGTGTAGCCTCTAACAGGCTGTAGGGGCAAGTGCTGTTAGTAGCGAGTAGCAGCAGCACTTATGAAGGTTAACACAGACAAAGCTCCCCGTGTAGCCTCTAACAGACTGTAGGGGCAAGTGCTGTTAGTAGCGAGTAGCAGCAGCACCTATGAAAGTAGACACAGACAAAGATCCCCCGTGTAGCCTCTAACAGACTGTAGGGGCAAGTGCTGTTAGTAGCGAGTAGCAGCAGCACCTATGAAAGTAGACACAAAGATCCCCCGTGTAGCCTCTAACAGACTGTAGGGGCAAGTGCTGTGAGTAGCGAGTAGCAGCAGCACCTATGAAGGTTAACACAAAGATCCCCCGTGTAGCCTCTAACAGGCTGCAGGGGCAAGTGCTGTTAGTAGCGAGTAGCAGCAGCACCTATGAAGGTAGACATAGACAAAGCTCCCCCGTGTAGCCTCTAACAGACTGTAGGGGCAAGTGCTGTTAGTAGCGAGTAGCAGCAGCACCTATGAAAGTAGACAAAGATCCCCCGTGTAGCCTCTAACAGACTGTAGGGGCAAGTGCTGTTAGTAGCGAGTAGTGTGATGCCGCCGCCGCGAAGCCGTTCGGCAGGCACCAAATCCCCGACCTCGCCACCACCAAGCAACGGAGCCGACCCCGCGTCCCCCTCACCTCACCTCACATGAACA